AATGAATGGCTCAACCGGCTGCAGGCTTAGCCGGCGGGCGGGCGTTCCATCCATAATGTGGCGGCGAGCACGTGGAGATTCATGGAAACAGGAAGTACCGCGCCTCAAATCCCCTCGGCCATTGTCATGTGAACACTGGACGCCTGCCAGCAGCTTTAACCCCTTATCCACTGAAGCGCGCTGAGCTTTTCCTTTTCCATATTTTTCTCTATTTATATGTAAGTTAGTTTTTATTACTTTTTTTAATGTTCTTATAAAATGCATGGCTGCAAGCCAGTCAGTGGTTCGCTTCACGGCTTGAACCAATGACTTTTTTTGTGCTCAGTTCGTAGAGCAGCTTGTTTCTATATCTGTGGAACTTGTTCGATTCTTACATTGGCTTAATTTAAAGTCTTGCGAATTATAGCAGAGCAGCTAATATTGAATATTAAATTTAATTACTTTTGTTCAATTGTCATTATGTAATACTTTAAGTATTAAGAGCTCAACTTGCTGAACTTTCGATGCCTCAAATTTCCCAGCAATGATCATGACCCCCCTCAGCAGAGCATCTAATATGGAATAACAAATTCAATCACTTTTCTTCAATTATAATTATGTAATTCTTTGTAATTAACAGCTCAACTTGCTCAACTCTGGACATTTTCTATTGGCATAAGTCCCGCTGCCTCAATGATCATGACCCCCCTTCCCCACAGATCTCACGCAGCACGTCAATCGCTTGGTAAGTGTTTTGGCACTTCACAAGCACCACATGGGCGGCCAGTTTTGGCTCATCAATCGATGTCAGCCGCCAGAGAGGGTTGTGCCAACGAACCGCCGCAACCACAACGCGCCGCAGCGGTGGCCACAGTTGATGTTGATGTTGATGTTGATGCTGATGTTGACGCCAGGTCGCTTCTCCTTTGGCTTGACAAATGAAATGTCTCGCACCTAATCAAATTTTGTTCAACTGAATGCGCCTCGCAGTTTCCGCTGCTTATTATGCAAATGCCAGAGACGAGGCTCCTGTTACTGCGACTGCTGCCGCTGCTATTGCCACACGCAAATCAGTCGAGTCTTGTTGCAAATTTATCATCATTTAATTTCCATTTGGCGTCGTGCCATGTTAATGACGTTGTTGACAACACTCGAGAGCGCGTCTCGAGTCTCTGGGCAGACTGGAACGCGGTTATCCTTTTGGCTGCCTACTCGTCTCTTGCTGTTGCTGCTACTCCTGCAGTTGGTTACCCGCTGCATTTGCCATTTGCCATTTGCCTTTTGCTTTGACGCGCCCTGACAAATTATGTCCCAGTTGGCATCGCGCATACGCCTCGTGGGCCGCTCAACGCTCGGCTGCTCATTTGCCTAAGTGCGCTGTGTGTAGAGGCTTTTAATTAATTGTTAGCTGCGACTTATTGACGGTCTGGTTGGTTAGCTCGGTTGCCCATAACAACAACAACAACAACAACAACTACAGCAACGACGACTGCCGCAAAAAATGTCAAACTAGCACTTAAAAGCCGCCACGCTTTGCTACTTGTCAACCACGCGCCACCCCCAACAATATGCTTCACGTCCAGGCAGAAGCCGAAGCTAACAGCGTATAAATCACACTAAACAACAAAATTGCTTTGTGCGCCCAACAAAAAGTATGCATAATTTTAACCAGAGCTTATATACTTAAGCATAAGCAATAATTTTCACATAAATTATATTTGTCAATTGACTGTAGCTATAAGAAAAGATTTATCTAAATTTAAAATAAATAAAAATTAGTACTTTTGAAGCTTTGTTTTTAAATGAAAAAAATATCATATTCAAATTAACAAATGAAAGAAATTTTTATACACGATAATATAGTAAAATTGAGAATATTTTGTATTTTATATAGATTTTGTAGTTTAGTAGAGTGCAGATCATTAATCACATAACAATAAAAAGAGTAAAAAAAAGAAAGTTAAGACACGATGAACTATTATTTTGTTGGCCAGTGCTTAGAGCAACCACCCCCTGTGCATTGGAAAATGTGAAACAGTTTGACAAAAGCCACCACCCACAAATTAGGCTGTGCAACCAGACGCAGGACATTGGACTGGCGGCAGGCATTGCCCGCCCGCTCCTATTCGGTCTCCTGCTTGCAAGCAACGCTGTCGCCATATTGCCCAGGGGCTGTCGAGAGTGAAACAGCAATGGCAATATAGCAACAACCACGACAACAACCACGACAACAACAAGGAGAAGAACAACCCGCCAACGCCAACTGCTTCTTGACCCCTTCGCAGTGCGGACTTGGATGTTGTCATTGCTTTTATGACACCGAGGAAGCCTTCCATGTAAAAACGATATGTTGCCTTCGACCTCGAGTGGCAATAATTGTAGCGAATTGTATCACCTTTGTGCTAATCCGTCTCGCTAATCCGCCGGATTAGCGTTTCGTCTAAAAAAAAGACAACGACAAACAAAACACAATTTGGAAAAACGGCGAAAATCAGACACCAAACTGGCAATGACGTCGCGACGCCCAACTCGGTGCTTAATCCGGGTCCCGAAATGCCAGCCGAGCAGGTAAAACAAAACGAAGTTAAGAAAAAAGAGGAAAATAAAACACCTCACAATCCCGCCACATTGCACACTCCTTTTGCTTTCCGGCGACGCAGACGCTAATCCGCCAATAAAGTCGTAAAAAAGGAAAATATTATAACTGCGATTTGTTTTTGTGCCCGTTCTTTGTTTTCCAAAATTATTTTCGTACACAAATCGCAGAAATAGGTCGTATCGTAGGTAAAGATATGGAAATGGGATTGAGGCTCAGTCATAAAATCAAAGATATTTGCTTAGCTGAAGAGCTGCTGGCTTAGCAGAGGACGATACGGAATTAGTTAAATGGATTAGTCAAGATTAGACCAACTAAAAAGCGTAGTACAATGACTAACTTCCGCTTGCCTTCCTAAAGCTGACCTTTAATAAAAATCTTGTAACCGTGGGAAGCTACATTATAATGGGGTATATTTAAGAGGTAACTGCAAGTTTGGATTGGTAGAATATGGTTAAAGGAAAAACTTTGAATTTACAATGCGATTAGCTTTAAGCTTATTTTTCAAGATTTTTGGAAAATCCACTCCCTCCCTCCTCCCCTGAGTGGATTAACAGTTTATTTAAATTTATCTTATAATTTAATTTATTTAAATTGTATAAACAAAGTTGAGATCTGCTCGAAACTCAGTTTTTGAGCGCCACATTAAAAAATAGCAAATATATTTTTTGGAAAAGTAGAAAATTGGCGGAAAATTTGAATTAAAAAAATTTATAAAAATCGTTTTAAAATGTCACCTAAAACGCGTCGAGATATCCTTAAAATTGTGAAGATTTGTAAGATTAGCTTGGGCAAAGCCGGGTACGATCCACTTTACCATAACTAACTGGTAAACTAGTTAGTTAACCACACAAGCTTATTTACGTTTAATTAATCGTTTGGGCTACCATTTGAAGAGGTCAAAGATTCTTCATAATACATTGAGTTCTGAAGTATAAGCTGCTAAATAGTTTGATATGTGTGTGTTGCCAACCCTCTTAGTTGAGTTCTGACTGACCCGTTTTAGGATTCATTTTTTTACCTGAGAGCGTTTCGAACTTATGCCAGCAACTTAACCTAAAATTCATTCTTTATATAATTATTCAATATCACGTCAATGCAAAGTAAATATTTGTGAAATTTTATATAGAGAGGAGAATAGCATAAGAATGAAAAAACACACTGTTGGAACAACAACGGCGACAACAATGCCTATAATAACAAACAATAATCAATATTTGATATTTTAACACATTTCACACACACACACACACACTTTCTCAAATCGAAAAAACACAAGTTGTATAAGTTGAGAAACAATGCTAGTGGATTTATTAATGACCGCAATTATTCTTATTATTATTACAAGTTAAGATGAGAAGAAAAAAAGTGTTTGAATATAATAAAATTGACTGAAAACTCGTTGATTTGATCGCCAGAGGTCTGTGTGGATCTGTTTGCCGTCTAAAATTTCAATGGCCCAGCCCCCCCGTTGGGCCCGGACAATGGCCCCCGTATGGCAGATATGACCATACCCTCTACGACTCTGGCGACCTTTGTTTGGATCTCGTATAGCCCAGATCATTGTTGGCCGAGGCGCAAAATAAACAAAATAAACAGCGCATTAATCAATAGAAATTAATACAACGCCAAATAGTTGTATAATACCTCGAATATTTCTGTGTGCAAATCAAATTAAAGTTTTCAATCAACAACAACAAGGCAAACACTGCGGGCAAAAATTGTTATTATATATAATTATTTGTATGATAAATATATATGAGAAACACGTGGAGACAAGGTTAATACTGATGAGTCTCATAATCTTAGGTTACAGTTGCAAAGACTCAACTGTTAGAAAAGAGCTGAGAACTCAATGTAATGTTGGGAAAAGATACTTGGGAAACTGAACAAGGAGGAGCTGCGTTCGCATCCTGAGCATTGTCATACTTAGCTCCAAGTTCAGGTGTCTACTTGGAACTATATAATCCCATATAATACCATACTTTTTACTTAGAAGTCTGCTAAACAGCTTCCGATGGCAAGTATAGAAATTATACAAAGACTATTAACAATATATGCAAAGATATATTTCTATTGCCCTTTAAAAGATTTTGAGTTTAATTTCTAAGAATGAAAGAAGTCTTAAAAATTGTTTGAGTTTTTTGTCATTTTAATAAATGTTGTTTTTTTATTCATTTTCTTCTCAATATTTTGCTGTTTTGCCTTAAATATTAACGTTGTTGTTTTTAAAGTTTAATACAATTATTAATACATTTATGAATATGTGTGTGTGTGTGTGTTTTTTTTTGTTTCTTTCCATTTTCGGATTGTGTTTTTATAGTCTATAACGAATTCACGTGATATTTACAATTTGAGTTAGGGGCACAATACTCGTAACTAGGATATGAGGATGGTGCTGATAAAAACAACAAGGAGCACACGCTTAGAACTAAATAAAATTAATTTACAATTAGGTATTTAATTTGTTTTGTTTAGCGACAATAAATTATAGACATTATTATAATTTGTATTATGTTAGGTAATATGTATGTTTATTGGCTAGGAATGTTTCTTACGGTTTCTTTCTTGTGCAAAGATTGTACTAGACTTTTGCGAGCGTTTTGCTTGATAGGGCGAGAAATATCAAAGATAGAGAACTACTAGATCGTAATTGGCTTACATAGAGCTTTTAAAGATTTAAAACCAGTGGATCACTTTGGGAACGCGTCAACAATGCAAATTGTACTTTACTCTGGGACAGCTTTGGCCCGCGCTTGTGCCTAATAGAGCACTGGCACCGGCCGCCTCAAGGCGCTGTCCATGGAGCCGTCCATGCCGTTGGGCGTGATGGTGCCGGGCGAGGAGCCCGGCGACGATGTCGAGGATGAGGTATACAGTCCAGCGGCGGCGGCGTTCGCAGAGTGCGCGGCATACAGTGATGGCGCCGAGATGCCCGAGTAGATGCCGGAGTAGAAGCTGCTCAGGGATGTGGGTGGCAATTGTGACGCCTGCTGCGCCTCCAGGTGCTTGTGCGTCTGATTGTTTGCCGCCGCGCTCTGATGCAGCTTAGACAGCGCCAGCGGATCGAAACCTGTGAAATATGGCACCGGATACGGTTGGTCCAGATGATGCGAGGGTGCAAAGTATGGGGGCAGCTGATGGAACGGATTGTAGCCACCGCCCGCCGGACCGCCGCCGGCTCCACCCAGTTTCTGTTGCGCCATATTCATGTTCATATTCATGTTCATATTCATGTTCATGTTCATGTTCATGTTGCTCTGCATTTGGAGTGCGCCCTGGGGGCCAGCGGCCAGCGGGTTCTTGGGCTTGCGACGTGGACGATACTTGTAATCCGGATGTTCCTTCATGTGCAATGCGCGCAGGCGCTTGGCCTCATCAATGAACGGACGCTTCTCCGACTCGGCCAGCAGTTTCCATTCGGCGCCCAAGCGCTTCGATATCTCCGAATTGTGCATCTTGGGATTATCCTTGGCGATCTGACGACGCTGCAGACGCGACCAAACCATAAACGCGTTCATCGGGCGCTTGATGTGTCCCTCCTGTCCAGGCGATGTGGCCAAACTGTGCATGGAGCCATTACCAGGGCCAGTGCCCACGCCCGAGCCATGTGCGCCCATGCCAATGCCTCCACCCATGCCGCTGCTGCCTAAGCTGCTCTGGCTGCCCAGACTGCCGGCGGAGCCAATGGAGCTGTTGGGCGAGAGGGTCTGCTGTGCGGCCACGGCGTTGTGCATATGATGCGCCATGTGGTGGCTCATGTTGCTGGCAGCTTGGCTGCTGACGCCGCCTGGGCCACCACCACCTGGTGAGCCGCCCATGGCTGCCAGACTGGCAGCCAATCCGCCGCTTTGTGAGTAATGCAACACACGCTTTATATCCATGTCCATGCTGGGGCTAAGCTGGGCATTGACCAGGCCCTGGGACGCATAGTCGCCAGGGGACGGCAGCTCCAGGCCCTGACCGGTGCCCAAATGGAAACCATAATTGGGATGTGACGATAATGTGGCCATTATATGTTTATCTATGTTCGTTTATCACTTGATATTGTTTTCAATATAATGTTCACTGTGTTTGCGTTCTTGTTGTTCTCTTGTTTGTCACTTCACTGTATTCACAATGTCTCTTTTTTTTTTGTTATGTTTACTGTAATGTCGTTTGTGCTTGATAGAATCAGTTGCTGTTGCTGTTGCTTTTGCTATTGCTCTTGCTGCTGCTTCTGTTCGGCTCAACAGCTACACACTGACTGATTTGTCTGCGCAATAATTGAGACTGACACGACTACAGTCAAATCCAGTTTTCTGTTATGCCCATTGCGGACCTACGCTCTTTCTCTCTCTCGGCACCAGCGCCAGCAGCAACAACCCCCTGCACAGGTATGCATGTATGCCAGAGCGAGATGGCAACAAGATTGCCTGGTTCTCGCATACCTGTGTTCCTACAGCGCTGCTTTGTGCTCGCTCGCTCTCTCTCGTTCTCTCTCTCTATGTTTCGCTCTTTTTCTCTCTGTTGCTGGTGCATTGTTACGCTGCTTGTTGGCTTTGTTCCATTGGCTCCTTTATTTCGGCCGCCTTGTTAGTTGTAGTTGTTGCCCATTGAGGGGTGTGTTCAATAGAAAGACTGAATAGCAGCAGCAACAACAACAGCAACAGCAACAACAACAATAACAGCTCGCTCACTGTTCGGCTCGGTTCGTGTCTGGTCGCCTTGTTAGTAGTTTTGGCTGCGCTGCTCCCATTTTTTGCCGCAGCGACCTCATTTGGAGCGCCCGCACTCCCGCATTCAGCTTCTACAGAGAGCTACACTCTCCTTCTCTTTCTCTCTCTAAAATTGCATTGATTTTTCGCAAACAGTGGGCACACAATTTCCGTTATTGTTTTGCCTGGCGCTGCACTTCCGCGGCATGTATTGTTGTTTGTCCGGAGAGAGAGCTTCGGGAGTGTGAGTGCATATGTACATATGCAAGTGTGAGAGCCAAAAAACACACATACGCTCAGAGAGTGCGCTTATGTTTGTGTGTGCGTGGCCCGTTGGCTTTACCTTTTCAGCCAATCATAATGGCGCCTTGGTGTGAATTTTTGTATACCCTGGCCATTGTGGGTGTCTGTGTTACTCTCTGTTCTATATACAAGCCGCATGTGTATTGTGAGTGGGCAAATGTATTTCTGTGCGTGTGTGTGTCTGTGTGGGTGTGGGTGTACGGGTGTTGGTGTGTGTGTTTTTTATGTATATGTGTGAAAAGCACATTTTAGTTTGTGAAAAGGACATGGAAACACGCTTTCCATTCTCTGTCGTTGTTCGTTTCTTTCTATTTCGCGCTCGAAAGGATATTACTGCAATTATTTACTTATTTGGTAAAGAAAAGTGGAAAAGCAAAAGCGACACAATGCGCCACACAACACAATTACAAAACTAGGAACGAGAAAAACGCCCTGAATGGCTAGCTGAATTTATATAAGTATGTATATAGAGTGTACCTATATGCATAAGCATGATTGTATGGGTACCTGTGGAAAGAGAAAGAGCTCTTCGTTTGACTACACAATGCGCAACGTTAAAGTTGCAAAAAAAAAAGATGAGAAAAAAAAACAGACAAAATGAAGTGTTTTTCTTGGCTGAAGGAGTACAATATGCGCTTGCTGATAACCAATTATAATAAGTAGCATAGCTCAAATATCAAACTTGTCTGCATATAATACATGCAAAAATATAACATGTCAATTGCCCTTTATTGACCTATAGCATCCCAAATGAATTAAGGTGGTCACTTTTTTCTAATCTAGTCAAGGTTTATGTTATAGCCCCCATGTGTTCAAGCCTAATGCCTGTCAGTAAATCATTATCCTACACTGTAAACAGATTTGTAGCTTATACTGATATACGCTTATATTTATACACATGGGAGCTTAGCTGGACGGCTTCTTACAATTATTATATTATAGATATTTAAGAATTATAAAAAAGTACTCACCTGATAGTCATTTCATATCCGAACTAATATACCCAATTTATCCTTTTGCCGACAGGGTATAAAAAGCTTTCAGCGCTTTCAACGTTTCCTTTGTGTTGTCCACCGAAAAAAGCAAAAAAATAATAATAAAAAAATAGAAAAGAAAAGGAGAAAAAAAAAACTTGATGTGTTGTGTAATGGAAAAAGTTTTGTTCAGCTAGCGTTTTGCTTTCTATCCATTCTACTTTTCACTTAGCAATGGAATACAGAGAGCAAGGGAGAGAGCGAGAGAGCGAGAGAGAGGGGGGGACCACCAACTAGGATAGTGGCAGAAAGAAGGACAGGCTTTTGCTTTTTGCCAAACGCATCTCGCATTTAGCATTCAAATGTTGCCATGGACTATTGTAGTGCACGCGAGGGGAGGGGGCGGTGAGGTGCCATAAAATAGTTTTGATATTTTGTTTTGTTTTCTTTTTTTTACTTTGGCGTGTGCAAAAAAATAATGACAAAGCCGTCAGGTGTTACAGGCATATACTTATGAGCACTCAATTTCAAATGAGTCCAAATAGAATCAACAGTTCTGTAATTATGAAATCCATTATGGAAAGTCTAGCCCTAACCCTTTCGAAGGACTCGTCTGCCTTTCTCTGCCTGCTTTCAATTCGCTCTCTATTATTCATTCGTTTTATTTTTTACATTAAATCCCGAGAGTCGCGCGTTCCATTGTTTGCCATATGTTGTTGTTGCTATTGTTGTTGTTGATGTCATTGTGAATACTTCAATTGTGAATTGGGGCTCTGGCTCTGGGTAAGGCATTTAATACGGCCATATGTATAGCACAGGCAAACAATTCACTTTATTCGTTATTCGTTTTTCGTTTTTAAATTAAATTCAGCAACAATGCGGCAAATGTGATATTAACAATGATTATAATGAGATCATAAAGATAAATACAAAGCGAAACAAAAGGCGAAAGTCTGCGAGACCTAAATGTCAATTAAATGAGGTTAAATTGTGTTTACTTTGCGAATTGATTGATTTGTTTCATCCGATGACATTTGATTTAATTGGTATTTATTTAATTCACATTCACTTGCCAGTCCAGACAATAGATTAACTATACATACGCGTCCCTGGCACCTGGCATTACACAACATTTGGAAAAACTGCTTTCCACAGCCGACAACGGTTAACTTACATTTTCTCACGTAGTTGGCAGCCGTCGGATCCTTTGTTCGGTTCGCATATTCCATTTCCCACTGTCCATTTCCCAGCACCCCCACATACACACACGCACACACACGCACACACATGCATTTGATTACAATTTCCTAGACGAACGTGTCCATTTGATTACTTTACAGATTTTGCGCTTTTCACGTGTCATTCTAGTTAAGAGCATTTTGCATGCACACGAAATCTAAAGATTTTTCTTTGCATTTTCCTTCTTTTTTTTTTTGCATTAAAACATGAAAAATTATGCGCCTTTGTGCGCTTCTGATAGGTGTATGTAATGTATGTGTATATTTAATGTTGGTAAAAATCAAGCCTGTTTTGAAACCGGAAATATAATTCAGTTAAAACAGTTGCCCAAAAAATAAACGAACCAATTCATAAATTGTGGGCTTAAGTTGCAAAACTTTTGAGTGAGACTCAGCTATAAGGCATAAATAGTTTGGGTCCCAACCATTAAACATATCTAACCACATTTGGGAGATCCAAATTTGGGAAAGAAATCAAATCTAGCGCGTATCTCGTAAATGAAAATATGTAGGAACTTACAATATTCTCAGTTAAACAACGCGCAATTGTTTATATAAATGGAATTGTTTCATTAAAATAGTTAAAATTTAAGACAAAACCAAAAATTAGATTAAAAAATGTAGGTAACCAGGTTTGCGAAGCGAGGCTAAAGCCAAGAAGTGGGTTTGAGCCGTGAACCGAACCAGCAACAACTTTTCGTACGGATTGCAGACCTGGTAAGAAAGAACTCAAACAGAAAACAAACAAAAAAACAAATCAAAACCGAGTCTAAGTGCAGGGAGTGGGTTTGAACCGTCGAACAAACCAACGACACCTTTTCTTAAGGTTTGCAGACCTGGTAAGAAAGAACTTGAAGAGACAACAAAACGTTTGAGACTTGTTTAGCAAATATTTGTTGGTAAGTTTCATTGGCATAGTATGAATATTATGTATTTGGAGCACATAAAAATGTCAACCTTTCAAAATGGAGCATATTGAGCAAATTAGAGTCCTGTAAGAGGAAAATGAACAATATCTCCTAGCTGCAACTAACTCTTCAGCTCATCCCATTAGGGCTAAACAGTTCGGTGGCCAAAACAAAGGATCGCAGACTCACATGTGCCAAGTCGACTTCCGTTCCCGTTCACCTGAGTTGACCAGGTCGAATCGTTGCTGCTGCTGGGCAATTGTCCTGGCATTGTGCTGTCTCAGCAGCATCTACTGGCTGCAGCGTCCTTTTGTCGTCCTTTATTGTCTGCAATTCAACGGAACTCGAATTGTGTTTGTTGTGCAAATTGTTTCAGCGTTTCAGCCAAAGACAACCAACAACAGCAAAATAAAAAAAAAAATAATAATAATAAATAAACACAATAATCAATGCATTTTGCTTACATTGTATGCGTGTGTGTGTTTTTGTTGCAGCATTTCCGGCCAACACGGAAATGGAAAGGACACTATCTATCCCCAGGACTTTGCAAACAATTAACCTTTTCCACATAATATTCAATTTGCGGTATTTGTGCAAAGGATAATAAATGTTGGCCGAAACATGTGTAAGCCCACATGTAACGCCCTGAAAGTCAGTCTCCTCCTGTTTCTGCTAAGTGTGAGAATCTGTGAGAATGTCTCGCCTTTAATGGGAATGGCTGGGAAAATGCCAGTGCCAATGCAAATGCAAATGCAATTGAGGAGCTGTCAGAGCGTAGGATATCGATGGCACTCATAAGGCATGCTCGATTTGAGCTCATTAGGTGCCCAGCGGTATACTGGTTACTCCCCCCCCCCCCCCCCCAACCTCCTCCCTCCCTCTCCAATACCAACCTACATAACTCTACTAGATGTCATAACAGATTAACTAAGAAATGTTCAGGATATGCAAAAGTCTCTAGCCCCGAGGCATTGTTCACCTGGCAGACCCGAACCCAAGCCCAAGCCCAAGCCCAGTACCAAGTCAGCCACTTGGCTAAACGACGTTAATTTCTCAATCAGCGCGAAAAAAAGGGTTGCAGGCAAATGACGAACCTTGGCGGAACCGCAGCAGAAGCACTTCATAAGCCGGAATTCATCTTAAGTTTGGCATGTAATCGAAACGGGCCACTTAAGAGCTGCTTTTCGTTTAATACTTGAGCATATTTCTTTATATATTTTTGCATATATATATATATATATATATTTATTTAGGGAGAGGGAGAGATAGACGTGGCTATTGCTGTTTGGGGGTCATTCTTAGGGGTTGGCATTTGCCGGCCCCTCTTCAAGTGCTTAGGTCTAATTATTGTTGTTGCTCGACCCGCAAAACGTCGCCGCCCGAAGAGCCCACTCGAAGCGACTTTTGAAGTGCAGTTCAGTCGCGCGATTTCTTCGAGAACGTCATCGCCGTAACCGAATCCCACGGTGTGTGTTTACGACCAACAAGCACAGTTGGAACGAATGCGAGCCCACAAATCCAGGGAATTAGCTGCCCAAAAAGTGTCAAAATTTTGCGGTTGCCTCGGGCCATCATCAACATCAACATGAACATCATCATCGTCAATGTTGTTTTTGGGTAGGCGTGCGGAGGCGTTACCAACAGGCAAATGAGGTCCAGGCCCGGCCCGTGACACGCGGTGAGGCCTGTCAGTGGCAGCTGCCAAACCCCAGAGCCACAAGTTTTAACCAAAAGTGTTGACAGCCTGGCCAAACGCTTTGATATTTCTATAATTATACCCTGTACTAGCGAGACAGACGGCCATGGGTCTTATGTGCTAACTAAAGTGTATATTTGACAGAGAATGAGCAACACTCAAAAGTATAATAGATGAGGTACGCTTTTCCGGTGTACAGTTCATTCTTACAGTCGAGCATACCCGTTGGCTGTCATCGTTGAACCGCTTTGCTGTGGCTTCTTGTAATTAATTTCACTCATTTGGCAAATGGGTTCGATGCATTCGAAAGTCAAAGAGTTTTATTGCGCGTGCTTAATGCTATCAAAGATCAAAGTAAAATTGTGGCAATGGGAAAACCGCTTCGACGCCTCTCGTCGAATACCTTTCCCATTCTTTACTAACCAGACCAGCCAACCGCCCGCCCGCCCACTCTCCAAGCTCCGTTTGTTTGTGTTTTCTTTGGTTTGAATTTTTAATGCAACTTTTGATTGTGTTGCGTATTTTCACTCAAGTGATTTGATTTTGCGAATTGAATTTATTTCATTTGGTTCTTAAGTATGTATGCATACCTCGTACCTTGTATCGCCTTTCAATCTATGCGCCTGTCAGTCAGTCAATCAGCCAGCCAGCCAGCCAGCCAGCCAGTCAACCAGTCAGTCAGTCAGTTGGTTGTGTTTGTTTAGCTTCTCCCGCGAGACTCAAGTGGCAAAACATTATTTTGTTCAGGAAATTCAATTAAAACTTTGCGGTTTTTTGTTAGCACCCCCGCAAATAAAACATCAAGTGGTTCCCAATCAAAGCGAGGCAGATTCGAACTGCCAGCAGGTGGCGGGCTGGAGCCGGAAACGAGAGGGCCAAGATGGAAGGTGAATTCGGCACTAAAGCGCAAGATAAATGTATTTATTGTGTCTGAATACAAATGTATGAAACCAAACAGTAGCATATACAAAGCTTAAACAAGGCCCCTGCAACTCTAGCAAGAATTTTTGGATGATTCGATTCATAGTTCGAATCAATGCCTCGCCTTGAGCTTAACTTATCATCTTTATTAAGACAAGGTTTGAGTTCGAACCTTGGCTTCAATAGCAAAATGTAATAAAATGTATATTGAATGTATTTTATTTAAGCTTTTACTTTATTAGAACTCTCATAGAGTTTTTAGAGTTTAGTCCCTCAAAGAATATTTGTTTTATCAAACCATTTTAGTTCAAGATCGTAGAAGAACTGTTTTTCTACAGTCCACAATTATGCACTTTCTGCTCAATAAAGCACTATCTGCCACAGTCAATAGTCTAACCAAGTATGAATGAATTATTGAATGATTTGAAAACTGTTCCACAAGTGCGCATGCAACTGACAATTCCAAACACTGTCAGATACTCGAAAACGGGTTGAATAGAAAGTGTTAAAAATGTTGAAAAATTCTCCCAACAGAGCTAAATCAGTGTTAAATGCAGCATCACATATGCCAAGTTAGAGCTAAAGTGCAAACAAAGTTCACGAGGGTCAAGCGAATCGAACTCTGATTCATCGTGAAGCAACCCTTGCAATTTCTCAACCCACACACATGCCCACAACCCCCTCCCCCCCCCCCTGGCTGTCAAAATAAATTGCTAGCTTTTTTCTGGTTTGGTTTTATTTGCATAAATAATTTACTTTAAATAAACTCAAAGAACGCTTCAAACTTTACATTTTAAGCAAAGATTTAAAAAAGGCAGGCGCGCTTTGTGGCAGGGTCAGAGGGCAGGTCTAGTGGCAGTTCACCTGGGACTCAAGCCATAATTCTTATTTAAATGGACCCATTGATTTGAATACTTTTTGCATTTTTCTTTAGCCCGGCAAAAGTCCCAAAGGACTTTCGCTTTGGGGTTCGGCTGGCTGTACTCGAAAGATTTGTCAAGTGTGCGCCGGTAGGAAAAGAACAAACCCAAACAATTGCGATAGTTAGTTTAAGAAAAAAAGGCACAAGAAAATAAATAAATATGCGTATAGAAAAAAGCAATCATCGGGCCACGACGGCCGCATTTAAAAGTCATTTGCAACGCCCCTCGAAAGCCGCTAAACGGAGCTCATAAAACAGGATATTTTTCCGGGAACATGACGACGTCCCTCATTCGGCATTTATTGTTTTACAATGTTTGTGTGCGGAGTAATTAAACAATTTTGCCAACTTTCTCGACCCGCACGAACTTGAGTTTTTACCCGAGTCACGATTTTACGACTGGAAAATTAACAAGCCGAGTTAGAGATCTTTACGGCCAAGTTTATGATCATGCCAAAACTCGCACGGCTATACGTGGACTAGAAAACTCTCTGGGGAGGTCAGGCAAGAGCCTTGCAAAAAATTATATATATATACTATATATCATAAAATACAAAAGGAAGTGGGCGTTATGTGCACCCAACGTAAATTCGAAGCCCATTGCCAGCTGCCCCATTAGCAAGCACAATGGAGAGGCCCAACAAAGGTCCTGGCAAAACATGTGATTAAATTGTCGCTTACAACGAATTCGACACCTCGCCGGGAGTCGCCTCGACTCTATAATTACGCCGTGAAAGACCAAGAGAGAAAGAGAGAGAGAGAGAGAGAGAGAGAGCGAGAGTGGCGAGAATCAAACGCCTAACAATAGGAGAAGAGGCTAAAGCCAATCCAGATCTGGGAATTTTGGTGTGACATATTCAAATTATGGCTAAGCCTTTGTTATGATCGGCAAGGGTTGCCACCATATCATTATCGCCGCTCGCCGCTCTGTGGTGCCCATTGTACGACCGCAGCTCAAGGGTTGTAGCTGGGAACCTTTCAACGAGCTGACCAAAACAGTTACACTGAGATTTATTTCTAGCTAGATTAGAGGGAATAAAGTTCGAACTAATTGCTAATTGCAAGCTCTTGCGTGAGGTGTAATAATTAGGAGTGAGGAGTGCCCGACTAGCATATACCCTCTACCCAGCGTCAAGTTTAGAAAAGCGATCTTGTTCGGAGTTCATAGTCCGATCTTTGTTAAATACGATATTAATACGGCATACATAAGCAAAAAACAGGGCTTTCTACCTTTAAAAATGTTTTGTTTTTCAATTTTGGGGGAATGGCTGGAGCTGTTCAAATAGTGAAACAAATGGAAGGTTACATACCAATTTTGGTGTACCTGGCTCTTAAAATATTCGAGTTATGCCATTTCTCAAAGTTGATTTTGATCGATATCTTAAAAATAAATTTTCTGCTATAACATATATAGAAGGCTATATATTATAAATTTCAAGTAAGTAGATTTTAATCTTTTCGAGAGCGAGGCGTTCACGCAGACGGACAGACAGCGGGACATTTGTAGCTAAATCGGCTCAGCTCATCGCCCTGATCAAGAATATATGTATACGGAAAACGGCGATTCAGATGGATATTAGTATAAGATAGAAGTATAAGATTCATGTTGATTACTAGTAATAAGGAATTATCGATAGTGTGATTTGTGTTGTTGAGCAGAACGGACATGAAGAAACCGCGGAATCAATAACTGATTGAAAGAAAGTATAAAGTTTAAGTATATATATCAAATAATATTATATTATAAATCATCAAAGTCATGGAATGTATGAAAAACCATCCTGACATCAAACTTAATGTTTTCGGGCTATACGAATTTCACAAGTTGATGTGATTTTTTGTCAAGTGTATTAAAAGATTGTTTGTATCGCGCTGGCACAGCATGTCCCAAATTGCTCTATTCAGACGCAATTAAAGTCAAGCTGGGAAAGCTGAGCAGCCAGGGAATCTAGACTCGCGAGGCAGATCGCTGCTTTTTAACACTTTCAATAGCTGCAGCATTCGACAGTTCAGGCATAATTCCATTCTTTTGCGCAACAATAAGGACTCTAAACGTTTCCGGTGCGTCGGCCTGGTCTGGCAAAAGGATCCCACGCATCAACAGTATCGATCGCTGATCTTGATATCGATCTAGACACATCTTTCTCTAATGGCCATTGTTTGGCTGCACTTGCACCCTCGCCGTGCCTCGCCGGGCTCGCCGAGAGCACAATGGAAGGTGTCATGGGCATCGGGCCGGGCAAATCTGTTGCTACAGTTGCAATTACGTAATCAAGATGCAGCAGATACGAGCCTGACAGGACTCTTGTTTGTTTCTTTGTGCAATCGATAAACGGATGTAGCCAAGGATGCAGCATATGCTCGCCCCCGCATTGAGAGTCGCTCAATGGATTTATTGGCCAGACGTCCATAATAAAATTGTTATTATCATTCAAATGGCACATTATTGGCACCCTCTACAAGACGACGCGTCGCTAGTTTGTTTGCCATGTCGTAAAGCCGAGTTTTATGATACGTATATAAATTAGCGATATAGTGTGGTGGTTGGAACGGCTCATAGACTAAACATTTATTGCACAATGCGAACAAATCTTAACAGGATTCTCAACAGAACACAAAAAGTGAAAAGTGCTCTAGTCGAGAGTGACCGACTTGGAGATACCCTGAACCCAACTGTACCGAACTGCGGTTACAAATATTCCAGATTTCTTCCTAACATGGTATGTACTTACATATTCTTCTCATAATCTCTATGGGAATTACATTCTTGCATAACTTACATGTCATCATGTCCTAGTAAGTAATCGATTTTGTGGAAGCATAGTGAGTTACCGATAGGAGGATTTACTTTCCAATTTTTAAGTGTCCAGCTCCTCAGAGATGGAATATTTCAGACAGACGGGCGGACAAAAAGACAGACGGACTTGGCTAACTAAGAATATATATGAGGTCCTCCTCCTTATGCCTGTTACATCATACCCCTTTAAACTAATTTCAATGGGTACAGGGTGTAAAAATAAAGAAGAAAATGGAAAACAGGCAAAGAGCGAAGCGCTCAGTTCAATAAAACTTGAACTAGTTCATTGTCAGGACTTGACTGACTCACAAATTATGCTGCTCTGTGCTGTCCGTCTTCGGGGCGGTGCCAAAGAATTTCTCGTACTCCTGCTGGCGACGACGGGCACGCGCCTCCCGCTCCATTTGGCGCTTTTTGGAGAAACGTTGGTGGATGCGCTTCATCTCCTGCACCTCCTTCATTTCCTCCTTCTCCTCGTCCTGCAAGCAAATAGAAGAATTTAGCTCCTCAACTAGTTCCATCATAAATGCCTACTTACAGTCATGTTCAAGCGCAGGACCAGGGCGCGTCTGCCATCGGACATGGACTGGCTGTATTGCATAAAGTTCTTCAGGCGCTCACCTGGCGGCACACTGCGCTCCACGACGAGCACAATGCGCGCCCATTGGCGCTGCCACTCGTTGCGTATCTCGGCTATCTTCTGGTAGGTGTTGCCCATCATGGCAATCAACATGTTGACCAGCAGAACGCTGACAATCACCATAAACAGAAACCACAATATCTTGGCCTCGTACTCGTGCTGTGTGGACACCATGGCGCCATAATAGTCGCCAAAATTGGTTAGCGACATTAGAAACATGGCCACAATGGATTCCATGGGCGAGGGCATTGGATTCGATTCGGCGTCCTGATCCTCGGGCGTTGACGGATTGTCAAAGGTCAGAAATATGATGTAAAATGCCTGCGAGAAGCCCAGCACAAACACCAAATAGATGGAAACGAATCGCAGCAAATCTCCCATCACCATGCGATAGATCATCACAACGAAGGGTCCCACGGTCTTGAAACCACTGAAAAGCTTCAAAATGGAATAGCAACAAAATAATGAATGTTAATGCTACGCACCGACAAAAGAAGAGAAAATACGGCGCCGTGGTCAACATAATCATAACGGTCACATGATCATCGATTTCGGTAAGACAGGAGACCCTCAGCCAGGGTATGGTCATCATGAGGGCGCAGGAGAACAAGAACATGACCCGCGACGGAGCAGTCATCTGATAGAAGGAAAGTAAGACTGTTAACAGTCAAGGAAAACCTAGGTGAAATAGTTAAGCTGACCAGATTCTCGATGAACATTTTGTAGCCGAGGAAGCGTGCCTCCCTCAGTGCGACGAGCAGGTAGAGTATGGCGCCCACGAAGTTAATTAGCTCGGCTATGATGCGTAGCTTGGCCAGATCCGATTCCAGATTCATGAGCGGACACTGGGCGTAGGTTTGCCACCAGGCGGGCAAGGTCTCGACCTCGCTGGGATCATAATATTCCGTAAAGTTCAGCCAAAAGGTTTCTGTGTGGACATCAAAAATGATTTCATGTTCTTTTCGATTGGATTCAACAAACGGACTGTATTCAGTGCTGGATGTGCCACGTTTGGTATGCTGGCCCAGACTGCCGTTGGTGTACAGATCGTGAGATGCGCTGACATTGGCAGGTGTAGCAGCTGTGCCCTCCGGCTCCTCATCCTCGTCCTCCTTGGAATCCGGACCCGGACGCAATATGAAGCTGAACAGCGATATGAGAAAGTAAAAGGCGAACATGTAAAACTGCTTGTAGAAACGGGATTTGCAGAAGGTGTCCCATTTGGTCTTCAGCAGATCAATGACCACGCCATCCAACAGCTCCAAGTGCTCCAGCTTGTCACCGAATACCACAAAATTCAACACTGAATCCTTGTTGATGTTGCCCGTCTCCTCGTTAATGGTGTCGATCATGAGCAAGGGATACGCGGCACAGGTTATGCTGCCCAGCTGCCAATATATCTCACGCTCAATGCTCATCACATGGAAGAACATCTCGACCCGGCCCAGCTTGGCGGCCAGCGTCAAGGGCGTCAGATTTTGTATATTACGCACGTGTATGTTCGAGCCCACCTCATAGCCCACATCGAACATTTCGATTTTCTCGTAAATGACCAGCATATGCAGCACCGTATTGCCATTGGTATCCTGAAAGTCCGGATCTGCGCCGCGCGCCAGCACCAGTCTGAAGCACTCCTCCTTTACGGATTAACGATAATATATTTATGTTGTATAGCTTTTAATAGTCCAATTACCTGCGACAGGCAGGCGGCAAAACTTAAAGGATACTCGCCCCAGTATACGTAGCCATCATAGTTGGTTATCGGTTGCAGTGCCACGTACTCGTGATCCGGCGAATCCGTGCGTGAGGCCTTCGTGTCCTCCGCGGACATAAAAGCGCCGCAACAGCTGAGTTGAGGGAATTGTGAAAAAATAAAGAGCATATATCAGTGGCATTCAGTACTCACCGCTCCTGAACGTCGGCATTGGCGTCCAGCAAATATTTGACCATGGCCGGATCCTCGTTGACAATGGCAATGTGCAGCACACTCTCGCCGTAGTACTCGTCGCTCATATAGATGTCCAAAATGAGCTTCGGATAGAACTTCAGGAGACGCTTCGCCAGATCAGCATGCAGGGAGGAGGCATTCAGCAGGCAGAGATGCAGAATCGTTTCACCAACAGCACCGCGCATCTGGAATCGAGATTTCGTCATTGTGACTCCAACTGGACAGGCTTATATTATCGAACTCACGTTCAGATCCCAGCACACAAAGCGATAGGCACTCGGATTCGATATGTATTCCGCCTCGGATACCTCCGGACAATAGTCGTGTATATTGAAATCATCATCGGGATTCTCTAGAGCCCGTATCTCGGGCAATTGCCTGGTCCGTGGCCTGTCCCGATTTCGCAGTAGCACCAGCTTCGATATGGGAAAATAACGGCCAGCGCCCTTGTTATATAAAAACGGTTCCACTTTCGTTTTGATCGCATGATCGATCTCGGCAAACTGTTTGGTCTGACAGGCGCGCTTCATCATGTCCACCAGAAGGCCGCCGCCCTTGAGATTGACAAATTTGTAGAGGGCCTGGGTGGAGACTCCCGCCTGTTTCTTGACGCCACTCGTCACATTGCTCTCCGTGTTTCCCATGCTGCGGACCAAGTCCTTGTCAGCTGATTAGGAATCCGATGACAAATCACCGAAACTCTTTGGTTTTTCTAGTTTTTATGGCGCGCCATTGCAAAATTGCAGTTAGCTTTTTCTAGAACTTGGCTGTTTTCTGTTCGATGTGCTCTTGTTTTCTGTCTGTTTTTATCCTTCGAGTGGTCATCGATTAAACATTCCATCGAATTGAGCGTTGCCAATGCAACAGCTGAACTTGAGCTCAATTTATTGTTTACAAACCGTTGCCAGGTTGCCAAACTTGTTGCATTTGTTCAACAAGTGCCGCGCCCTTATCCTCAATTACGGCAAACTTGTGGATTCCAATCAGAAAACATGAACTTGGCGTGTGTTTCGTGGCCTTGCACCTTGACATTGAGTACTACACATGCCGGCTTACCGTTATCTTAAATCGATTTAGCTTAGATTTGAGTTAAACAATTTATGAACCTGCTTCTTTCTTATATTATAGGTAACACCTTGTTGTCGCTCTTTCAATTTCGTAATTCAATCAAATTATTTAACTTTTCTCATTATATAAACAAACAACATAAATATAGCAATACAACAAAAAGTAACAAACAATTTTCGAATCGAAAGCTTTTCAATATTCACTGCATATGGTCACTCTAAACGTCTCAGTTTTGCGTTAGGCGCCTACTTCGCGTGACGCAAAGTTGAGAAATCGATTCTGTTAACTCCAAGTGCGTTAACAGAATCAATTTGGCGTTTCAAAAATGTTACTTAGGCTAAACTTAATGTAAACTAACATTTTTTGTTATACACTGAACGAAAGTCGTTTCTTAACGAATTGTAGATACATTAGACAAAAGCTGCTTGCTACAATACGTACTGTAAAAATTGAAATTACTTTAAGAAAAACTACGCTATTATAATTGCAGAAGCAAACTATTAATTTATTAATATGTTATTTTTTTTGTGAGACGAAACTCATTTAAATTTATTTGGACCAGATCGTTATGTTTGATTATAGATAGTAGCTACAATTGTTTTGGTTATTACTCATGTGCTCATCTCGGCTATTTAAAATACCGAATTCAATAATATTCTTTTAATAGCATTAAGTGCAGGTAATTGTTATAAGAATATATATATATATATTCGCTTAGCATTAATTGATGTGGTATGTTAATTTACTAACGTAGAAAGACTTCGACTTATCAAAAGATATATGTGTTTTGCATCTAACATAAATATATTTCTTGCAAATTTATAACATTGCCCAACGGGGCATATATGTATGTATAACAATTTATTTACTATTGTATTTGGTAAGCTTTTCAAAACAATTTAAACGTTAGCTTTTGATCCCATGGCTTGAACTATGCATGAAGACAATTCGATATTTGTTTGTAGTTAAACGTGAATATTAACAACAATTTTGCTATGTTTTATATATTCGAGCACTGCCGACCCATATAAATAAATTGTCATCTGAGATTTCAATTATCTTTTGTACTTCGGGTAATTAACAAAACATAAATTATTTTAGTTAAAATCAACTCTTACAATCCATTCACTTTTATGATAAGTTGAAATCAGATTATGCTATTCCATTATTATTCTTATCGCTAACCGTAATTGAATGCAGTTTAGAAAGAAATTGGCTGGGAATGATTTGGCCTAATGGCCATCTTTTAGCTTGCCTTTTTGTTCCTTTTTCATTGGAAATATGAGTTAGCATAGATCATAGAGCTTATAGAGCTAGATATATTATTTTAATGGATATATATTTAGTTGCTTATTCATCGCCGATAGCACTGGTTCGATCTACCTTTTCCTATATGCCCTTTCTTCTCGGACGTACACCCCGTACTTTCAGAATATAAATTAAAGATTCACTTTTGTGCAAGAAATGTTATGGACGGAGTCCAATGCATTAAGACTCCAGCAGATAAAATAGCGAAAGATTTTAAGAGAAGCTCTAAAATGCTTTACGGGGCATAAGCTGCATATGATATATAATTTTCTTTATAACTTCTTAATTATTAATAATATTTAGCGTCGTTATGTTAGGGCTGACAGCTTATAATTTTGAAAAATAATTGCATAAATTGTACTATTTTAGGGTAATATTTTTTATGAATTTTGTTCAACCACATTTGCCTCACAGTCAGTCGGATCAATATCGTGCTCAACTACCAGAGTATTTCTCGATATTGTATCCGCCAGCCGAGTTACTGACTCTGAGGGACGCAGACCTGTTGAACGCTTGCGTAGATATTCTTCTTGCTGTTCTTTTCTACTCAAATCGCTTAGTCTAAACGCCTCCAAGAACTCATTAAGATCTACCTTACCATCACCATTGAGATCCATCATACGGCATTTTTCCAACATTTCATCCTTTGAGTAAACGCCAGGCATATGAGCGACCAGCAGATCAATTGCCTTCTCGAATTCATCCAGAGTTATTTCACCTGCAGTTAAGGAATGACAAATTAAACGAGTTATGTACAGGTAACAGGCACACGCGAATATTGCACCTGAATGATCAGCATCGATAATATTGAATATGGTTTCCAAGCTGGCTTTATTGGCATATAAAGCGTCCATTACGGATGTCCCATCTGCCTCAGCTTCCATCTGAATAAATTAATGGTTAATTAATCTGATTAAAGCATGTTTTAGGAATAACATACAATAACATCCGTGTCGAGAAGATCCAACGTTCGAACATAGTTCACGCATTGGCTATCAGTGCCCGGGGCCAGTTTATCGCGTAGCAGTCGCCAGGGTAGGCCCAACTTGGTCACATTTTCCATTACAAAGCACCATTTTGAAATGGTTATGCAGCCGGAATCATCGGGATCGTACTTCTTGAACTCCGCCTCCAGCTCATCCCGATGTTCACGCATCCGCACGGCTAGTTCCTTTAATGCCGCACACTCCACAATGCCCATGCGTTGCTTGAAGGAGAGCTCCTTGGTCTGCGAGGCCGCCGAAATGTACTGGACAAAGTGCGGCACCAGTTGATTATTCAGGCGCATATAGGCGCCTTTGTTGGAGCCCATGGCATAGTAGTTCGATGCCGAGAATATGGTGATGATCTGCAGGAGAGCATACCACCGATAATATGGATAGATACTTTTGAGACAAAATCATTTATATATACCTTGTTGTCATGCATAAACTCGTGTCCATTTGGCTTGCACTCATGCGAGCGGATTACGTAGCTAAGTCGATGGCGTTTCAAAAATAATTCCGTTGTGTCTGGACCGAACCAAACACCAGCGCCTCGTAACGCGTTTGGCTTGCAGCCTTGCGAGGCCTGCGGATCGCTCCACATTATATCAAAAATCTGTAAAAATAAAGACAATCAATTTTGGAAATATAAGAAGATTTCGTGGGTTTCGCTGCACCTGTTGCCACTCTGCCTTCTCCAGAGCTTCACCATCCATTAGAGGTGGCCGCAGAATTGATACATACTGCAATAAAAAGTAGTTTGAATTCAATTATAATATATTACTGATTGATTATAGAGAGCTGTGCATCTACCTTTCCCCTGTCAATGCTTTTTATAAGGTCCAGGTTCGTAGTATCCGAGAAACCGCCGTGCACAATTAACACGCGGTTATTTAAAATAGATCCTAGTGGAAGCCAACGATAAACCTCGTCAATTAACGAGAGCAAACGTTTGTGATTACGCTGAAATAGTTAAACGTCATAATTAGGGATCTCAGTCAAAAACGAATGGATATACTCACGGGATACTTTCCCTCTACCTCGCGAATGAAGCCATAGCGGGCGTTCATTACGCTATCTTCGTGATTGCCGCGATTCAAGAACACAGCATTTGGAAATGCCAAATAGAGGGACAATAGGAGCAACAGCACCTCCAGCCCTCGCTTGCCCCTATCCACAAAGTCGCCATTGAAGACATAAGGATTGCTAGCGGAAGGCAGTCCATTCTAAAATACAAATTCGAGCATTTATTTGCACCTTGAGTAGTAATAACTATTTGGTATTTACCTTATAGAGCACCACCAGCAGGTCGTCCAGTTTGCCATGCAGATCCCCACATATGGTCACCTGTTGGGAGACGGCCGTCGATACCATCCACAGGTTTGGCATCTGTTTGAGGCATTTTGCAGCTTCGCGCAAAATCATACACACATATTTTGGATGCAGACGGTTGCCCTACAACACATATATTTCTTATTTGTTAATCAAAGCTAAGGAGGTTGCCATAAACATACCCTTTTTTTGCGAAATACATCAATCATGAGATCTATGTGCTTTTTCTGTATCGGTAATTCGAGCTGTATACGCGCCATTTCGCCAGTTTCCTCATATAATGCGGCACTCTTCTCCGGGCCAATACCTAGTCGGAAATAAACAAAAAAGTTAAAATAACCAAGAATGTGCTAGACAAGTTGTTGGACCTACTTTGTTTTGAGGTCTGACCTTTATTGCCAGCCTCAATGGCCTGGGGCATGTGTTTGATAAGGTCATTGAAGAACTTGTATAGCTATAATAGAATAAAATAAAATAATCAGTAAAACAATAATAACAAGCAATATTAATTTCCCGACATCTGTTCTGCACACGTAAATATATATTATTTTCTATATATTTACGTGTGTATTTTCTGTCGCTCGTTTGTCCCATGTTATCGACTTTCGAATCATAACAAATGCACAAAAACGCAGCCATTTCCCTTTTGGCCGAGCTTTTGTGCAGAGTATTTGAAGGGCTGCAAGCTCCAAGAAAAATCAAAATTGTCGAAGGTTCGGTTTACGCTTTGAACCAACTCCCCTTGCTTAAAGATTCGTTTGTGAACCTGATTAGCCAGGTTTATTAGACCAGATTTTTGGTTTGTAAAAAGCAATTGAATTTTTAATTTATAATTTATAATTCGATTGAAAGCCCCGTTTGCAGCCTTGCATAACATAGTACACATTTTTGTTGCCAGCTCTTACCTCGGCCTGGTCCTGCTCGCAGGCGTACTCCACGTTTTGAAATATTTGCCAATTACAGCGCTTTCGCATTTCCTGCCGTGCCTGATGTCGGCGATACCATTTCTGTATAAATATTGCTGCTCTGATTGCTGAAATAAATTTATAGAGATTTTAAGACCTTAACGAAAAGAAGTTACAACTAAAAAACAAAGATAATAAGTAAATGAATGTCATTTAAGTTAGTTCTCAGACAAGTTTTTTCATTTGCAAATATTGGCTAACTAACTTAAATGCTAAGTTGCAAGAAATTCCTGCACACATACGTGCAGTATAAAAGGCTACGCTTCTCTCTGGCTGCTGCTTCTCTCTGCTGTCGCTTGCAACCGGGTTTCTGCATGAGCACACAGGTTGGCGGAAGGAAATGCACTCGGCAGGAAATGCAGACGGACTGATTGAGTGATTGATTGCTTTAACGTTAAGGATGCACAGCAGAGACACACACACACACACACATATATAATATAATAATATAATATAGGGGCATGCTTCCTATGACTGTCACATAATTACAATTACATTATTACTTGCCGTTGTCATCCATTATTATGTAATAGACTTGAAGAACGGAGTGCGAATATAAAAGTCCTTGTGACTGCCGTCAGTTAATTATTATTCACTATTGTACCTATTAGCATGGTGAGGGTATTCAGAGTGTTGTGTTTCTTTACAAATTTCAAGGCATACTTTTCATTTCATACACAGCTTTGGGTGTTCTTGTCGTTAGAAGGCAACCCATTTAATTAGTGAGCTATTTAGTTGGTTTCCCGCACGCATCTATTTTATAGGTCTATTGGTTAAATCAATTATTTTAGAATTGGTAAGCACGTTTTCCATTGTTGTACACACGGTATCCAGCACAAGACTGCGACCTGAACGACTCGCAACCTTTTTGGTGTGGTCTGCGAGTGGTTCTCTCTATTGGAACCCGCCCTTGTCTCTGACCGTCTCACCGTCTCACTACCACTATTGGCCCATAATATATGTGCATGTTTGTATGGCTATTCAAAGCGTCAGCCCCGTCGATTTGTGCCCCTCTTTGGTCAACAATGTTGTGGTCAAGCGACGGGCGAGGGGATAGGGGGGTTGCCTTGCGGCTGTCGTCGTCTGCTAAATTCGTTTGTGCCACAAATTGTAATACAATATACACGAACGCAGCCGCAGCCGCAGCCGCTGGCTCAGAAGCTAAAACGGGGGCTGACCAAACTTGGAAATAAGGTTGAAATGGGTTGGGGGCTGTGGAGGGTCGGCAATAGTATTTTTTTCGTTTTTTTTTTTTATTTATTTTATTATTCTCACTCTTGTTGAGTGGCGAAATAAGTAGTCCACTTACTTACTCTAAGGCGTGTGCTGACTCTTATAACACAAAACCAGATCAAGTTTATTTCAATATTTTGGTTGCCTTGCCCTCCACATGCGTAAATCAATACAAGGGAACTACATTCGCAAAATATATACCCTTGTAGATAAAGTATTTTATTTAAACAATTAAAGATGTGCAAGTCCAATAGGTTTCTAATATTCCACAAAATATATATATGTATATATATATATATGTACACATGCATTTAAACCAGCATGTCCTTGCTGATTGATTGATGACCGACTTATCACCTGACTGACCGACTGATAGGTGATCAATCTCTAAAGTTACCTTATGTTTTGCAAATACCTCTCTTTTTGTTTCTCACAGGGCTTCAAATTCATGTTCAAGATAGTTAACAAATACATTTTCCACACATTTCCACCCTCTGTGTGGAGAGTGGGGGCAAGTTTGTAAAGGTGAAAGTTCAAGTTCTATTCAATTTGCAACAAACTTCGTTTCAAAGGTCAAACATAAAACGATTGCAATTATTTTGGGAATTTATTCATCAAAGATCTGTGTGAAAGGTCAAATAAGATGTGGAATAAATCGGAAAGTTTGCATGGGCGGGAAATGAGTGGAACGTTGAAATCCGTTAGTACAGATTTTAAAAAGGACATTTTGTTAAAAAAAAAACAAATTTATTATCAAATAATCATTCAAATAATTTAATTAATAAAGGGAGCTACTCACTTTTCTCGGCCCGCGTTGCACTCATGCCTCGAAGCGGTTTGCGGAAGTGCTTGCACCAACCTTTCCTCTGAAACAATTGCAACAGACTGGAGGCGCGCGTGCTAGTTGGCGGAGTCAGCGTTTGCGGCTGGCCATTGGACCCCAGCGTGGTCGTCTGCATGCTGGCACCGACACGCTCTATTTCCGACGAGCGACACGACGAGGCGTCTTCCACGGAGGAGCTGCGGCGCTTGCCGCTGCCGCCGCTTTGCAGGCACACACAGCTGCGCAACATGTTGCTGTTTGGATTTGGCTGGCTAAGTCCGGACCGGCAGCCACCTCTGACCGTGCCGTGGATGTGTGTTGTGTGTTGTGTAACTTGAAACACCGCTGCCGTGTGTACTACGGCGCACTAACAGGTCGACGGGGCGCACCTATTGTCATCGGGCGCCGGCAGGGTCTGTCTTAATTGCAGCTCCGCACACAACTCGCTGGATAGTTACACGGACTTGTAGTCATGCCACATGCATGAGTGTTTGCCTTGAGGTTTGTTTTAGTACCTTGTACTATTTAGTCTGGCCCGCAACGTAATATGATTCGCCCATACTTGGCCGGAAAATGCGTCGTGCGTTCGTTCGTCCTTCAACCACGGCCAGGTGTGCCCTCTTTATGTATGTTGGCACTTTTTCTTTTTGTGTCTGTTGCCTTCGGTGCAATTCAGTTTTCCTATCATATTACTTATATTACATACATTTAAGTCTTGCGATTAACTAAATAGAAGATAAATATCAAAAGCCACAAACATTACTACTATTTAAATAGTTCACTAAAATGAGTTGTCATTTAATTACAAGACAATAAATTATAATTTAGGGCAAATTCAGGCATTTTGAGCAATGTATTAAGCTTTTCTCTCAATGTACGAATTGTGCCACTTTGAAAAGTTTAATATCAACAACGATCAAGCAGAAGTTTTCAGCCTTCAACATATCCAGCCCACGCTGGGTATGAATATGCATACATACATACATACATACATTCATATGTGCACATAGATACACACATACATGCTACATCCGTTTTTTAGTGTTCCCTAGCGGAAATCTGCTTACTGTGCGGTTGAGTGAATAATGATTTAACCTTAACGAAAAATGCACAAACAAAAATAAATAAAAAAAATAAAGCGAGAATGAAATATCAGATTCGACACGTCGAGCATTAAATACCCTAAAGGCTTGCCAGCTTTGTGTGTGTGGCATTCTAAAGATCATGATTCCCGAATTCAGTCTAGATATCGTGAAAATAAGGAAAAGGTTTCGACTCAAATATACACCTTACTTATAGAGCTATATGATATTTTAGTCTGAGTTTCAAACGATTTTGGAACATTACAAGACTCTTAAATTTCAAGTTAGGTCGAGTTACCTCAAAACACAAAATCATTCCTATTTCAGCTATATAAGCTAGTGGTCCATTCCACCCGAATTCCGACACATGTACTGCCAGCTGCAGATACCCAGACCAAAGACAATATGCCCGGACCTACACAAAGTTCGTTGTCGAAACTTTAAGACTGAGGCTACATCGACATGCCTTTATTTTTATTTATTTACTTTATGGGGTCGAATATGTTCCCCTGTGTGCGTTCCCCATTTCATAACTAAATTATAGTACCCTCCTACAATGTTATAGAAACTATAGAGAAAAGAAGCATGAAATGCTCAAAGGCCCTGAAGCGACTATCATTCACCTATTTCAGATGATTTGCTAGGTTGGGGGTGCCTTTGTATTAATTAGTATCTGGTCGTGACAAAGGCATTTCAGATGTCCGCTTCGCTTGCATGTGGGTCAGGATGTCGATGCTGCCCGTTGTCCTCCATACTGCTGCTAATAGCTTGGTCAAAAGAACAAAAGGCTCCTACTCGAAAGCTGGTATGGAAAACTAGAAAGCGTAAAATTTAAATGCCAGCAACACAAAAGCCAATTTAAACTAAGTATACACATACTTTCGAGCAAAATTAAGAACTTTCAGGACATGAGCTGCAACGGCACGTATTTGAGTAAGGTGAAATGGTTTTAGCCTTGCCAAGGAAGGCAGTATCTTGCAACAAAGTGTGTAAAATGAGGAAACCCGCAGCGTAGCTTATTGGTTTCTTGGTGTTCACCTGGCCCCAATGGTAACGAGCACCGCAACACGCATAAATCGTGTCGAAAATGGCGTCAAAAGTGGCACGCGGCAAGGGGCAAGTGGCTGCTAAACTTTTATCAAAACTCAATTTGTACAAAGTGAAAATGTTTCAAAATTAATTTTCAATTTGTAAATAAGATTATTTTTTTCAAAATGTGCGCGCTTCAGACCTCAATACGAGGGTCGCGCGACAAGTGCACCCACCTCCACCTCCGCCCACCTTTCGGGTGGGAATATTTAGGGGAAGTTGTCGTCACGTCGTGTTCTGTCATCTGCCAAACGACCGACCGACCACATACTCAATTTCAGGCTGATTTAAAAGTTATTGTTGTGTTTCTTTTTTAATTGGCTGTCCGTTTCCTAATAAATTGGAACCACAAAGTGCGCAATATCGATTCCCAATTCGCTTTTTTAACGTTGCATGCCAAACACGCAGAGTATTAAATGGGAAATTGGATGCTGTTTATGGTCTAACCATGGCTTATGGCTTTAACGAATTCCCAATTCTATGCTTATGCCAATTCTAAGCTCCATTTCGACTTATCTATAAATGTTCGCTTCAATTTATGGGGCCCATCGTAGCTGATGGAACTAGGAAATATCATTTTATTCGCAGAGTTGGCTTAAATACGGCAATTCACGTTTAATCAAAGTAAAGCCAAAAATTAATATGCGGAAATTGTTGTTGGGTACACGACAGAAGAAAAAAAAAGCAAACCTAATATCGCTACCATTTGTTTTAATTAAATAGAAAACTTTGCTTTTAGGCAGGATACGAAAGTTACGACACAATTCATTTCAATTACCCGCATAGTAAAGGTCACTTTCCGTCTTTTGATCCCCCGAAAAACTGGACCGTAGATAGGACAGACTGAGTAATGACATCATCTGACGGATAATTAGCAAATATGTAGTACACGTACATATAGGACCGAAGGGACTTAAGGTTGTTCCAAAGAATTGGAGTGGGTAACTATACTTTCTTTTACGATAGGAAGAAAATTATATTGAAAATCTCAGAGACAAAATTTGCTATTTATGAATTCCCACTGAAATGTCTTTCATCTACAAATTGAGAACATTTGTGTTGCTCTACAATAAAATATATTGTGAAATGTGTTTTGGGCAGACGGTTGGCTTTCGTATACCCTGTAACCATAAAAAAGCAATGAATGACGTATGATTAAGCTATAGAAATTGATGTAAGTTCTTAAAATATATAGAATCTATCTCAGAGAGTTCAGCGAAGATATAGATATATGAACTATACTTCGTTTTTTTCAGAGATATTATCACGCCTTCGCCAACTGGGTACAGCATATCTGTTAGTCGAGCACGCTCAGTGCAAGCATTTTTTGTTGTTTTGTTTTGACTTATATTTATACATATGTAGACAGTATAGATGCATATACAAATAGATATTTTCACTCATGATTACCAAGTAGTTCAATTTATATTTTCGTCTTGCAAATATTTAACTAAATAGATAAGCAAAGCATTGACCAATTAAGCGCTCCGATAAGACTAGATGGCAAAGAGGATTTAACCATACATACATAAACACATGCTCAAACAAATACATACATATTGATATGCATAAGAAAATATGTAAATTAAATGTAGGTATACCTTCGTGGAAGAGCTTGCGGCTAATAAACCGCATAGATTCATTTTTATGTTCCTCCCAATTGATGACACGGCAGTAGAAAAGGTGCAAACGTATGTGTGCGTGTGTTTGTGTATGACGTATACACATACATACGTTAACAGGAATTTTGTTGCACCAGCAAATGACAGATATGTATATCAGCGACCATAACAGAGAAGATATACATACATATAAAGGCGGCAAATGATTAAAAGAAGCCACACAGAAAACTGATGCGGCGGCACCAGCAATAACTGCACATACACACACAGAAGACACCGTAAACACCGTACGAACGTACACACACACACACACGGCACACAGAGCGCCAATGTTACGGTTCTTAAATAGCACGGACTAGCCTCTGAATGCAATAGCAATGCGAATTTTTTTGCTTATATTCATAAAACATTGCTGGTCCGCGTTCCGCTCCGTCTTGTATGGAATACCGATACGAACTGAAATGAGCTGAAAGCACGGAAATCCTTTTAGTCGACTGTGGCTGTGGCTGTGGCTGGCGACGGCGACGGCGCAGTTATTGCGAAAACGAAAGAAAACAAAAATCGTTACCAAAAACAGCTGTTTGCTTGCTTGCCGCGTTTTTGCTTCCCCTTTCGACGCGCGGAGGCTGCGCGTTTCACACACACACACACTTTCACTCTCACTTCACAAAGCCAAGCATATTTGAAGTTTTGTTTTAAATTTTTTTTTTTTTTTTTAATATACATATGTCTTGAAGGGCAATGTCAGGGTTAAGGAACCACACCCTGCCATTAGCACAGTCTTCTTCGAAGCTTGGTTATATTTTGATAATGGCGTAGTTCAAATTCAAAGCCTTATAAGATAGCAACGTTTGCATTTACTTAGCGCGAATTCAAAGGACCTTTAGGCCAAGCTTCACGGTTTTTGACGTATTTAATTTTATGGTACAGCGCGGAAAACCGAAAAACTTCACAAACTCTGTAAACAAGTTTTAAAGACTTATTTAGCTATTTTTTTTAATACCTCGCCTTCTAGCAACCGTTTTGCATTTTCAAATGTCACTTTTTCACAATTGGACAAAAGAAGAAAAAAAAAACCATGTTGTAAAAAAACTAATGTCCATTGTGTTTAAGTACTAAGTTAAGTAATTAGTAAGTCCCAATATACCAATGTACTATGTACCGCAGTGCCGGGTGTCACCCAGAGCAGAATACTTAAAATATGCACTTAACTTAATGTAAAATAGCTTTATAAATTATATGTTATAACTTATGATATATGTATGTCAATTCAGTAATTTCAAAATTGCTCAGCGAATAGAGTGAATAGAGTATGTATAGTTAAGTCGTCATTCGGTCAAAGGCAACGAATGGAAGTTACAATGAATATATGGAAATTTATATAAGTATATACCTTTTGCAGCCATAGAAGAAAATAAAGAAAACGTTTCTTCTGCAACGTCATCAATATTAAGTTCTATTAGCGCAGAACGGACTTTAGTTGCCGTAAAATTCAGCAACAAATTCGAAATGAGGGCGCGACCAAGCGATTTGTCAAGGCCACAAACCGCCTGGCTGATTATTATGTTTGGCCATGCGAGCTGGACACAAACGGTAAGAAAGGGAAACTATATTTGAGGCAAACAAGTAACATGGGCTCGAACTGATGATACCCTGTTTTCAGATTAAAATTATTATATAATTTGTATTGAAATTGAAGTTAGAGCTTAGCAATAAAGTTATACAAGTTGTAAGGCTTAAATTATTTATGTATTAATATTTGTTTTATTTACAAGCAATTTATTTCAATTATTGAATGAACTTGAAAGCAACTGAATTGTACAACTAGTGTTTAAATATATATAAGAACTAAATAGAATAACTTCGGTCATGGACATTAAAAATAAAAGGCCGCAAACCATAAATTCTGCACTATGTCTTTGTCTATTGTTAAAATTCATTTATACTGTAGGTGCTAAAACTATTTTGTAGTGCGCTTACTAATACCGATTCTATGTAAATTTTGGATGTGTCGGTAAAACATAAAAAAGTGTATTCATCTATGCGTTTTGAAAAACACATTGCCAAAGACAACTTAAAGATCTATGTGGTATGCAACTAAAAGTGCATTGGACTTTCGGATTTAAGCTTATGAGATAGTTGCTGACAGAATCGCATTATTATCTTAAGGATACCCATATTTATAGTATTATATACATAAGTTTTATACGTTGCTACAACCAGTCACAGCATAAACACTCTAACATAGTATGTTTATGCGATGTGTATAACATATGGCTTGATTGGATCGCAGACTGAAGAAGACTGCGATATGCAATACGAAAAACCCTTCTAGCACAATCTTAAGATTAATGTTATATGATTATAACTAACAACTCATTGAGTTTATTGCAGCTTTGTTGTATAAATTAATATATATTCAAGCGGCTCCAGCTCCAGAACAACCTTCAGTAAGTAAACAAAGCCTATTATTGCTATTGATAATTACTGCATTACTTCGCGAAAACGTTTCTGCCGCTCCAAACTCTCAACTTCAGCCCAACAGTTGCGCATGTTGCGAAACAGCTATCAAATTCAAAAATATACATTTTTATATAAATCAACCGACAATAAAATGGAACAACTAACCTCATCTATCCAGTTGTGTTCGGCCAATAGATCATTTAGTATTTCCGTCGAAGTCTTGCCGGGAAACTGTTGTTGCTGCTCTGTAACACGCTGCGAACAATTGATAAACAGATTGAACTTCTCATGAGCAATCTTGTGGAAGAGATCCGCACGCGCAGCACAAATGCGACACAATACAATGTCCTGAAAGCACATAGAACAGTGAACAAAACAATTTATATAGACAACTATAAAAATGGTTTACCTTCTCGTATACAATTCGCGCATCTGCAGATATGGTCTGCATGGTGTTTGGATTATAGGGTTCCCCAAACAGAAGGAAACGAACCGCAATGCCTGGTTGATGGCAGCCAGCGCAGTTCTTCTGGGTCAAATTGTTCTGCACCCATTCAGAGAAAACGTGACACTTTGGCCACGTCTCAATTGATGAGATAATGCTGCGTGTCCACGGGGTGATGGCCAACAGTTTCCGTTTGCAATTGTCCATAATGTTGTCTATTACGCGCACGCTACCCAAAAAGTAGTCATCTGGAAAGTAGTTAATAAAATTTAATAGATTTAATGAAACTGTAATCGAACACTTACCTTTCTCGCGCGTTATCTCAGAGAAAAAGCTTGGATCGAGTGCCTGCGATATCATTGTTTGTATATAAATTTCAAAATTATCCCGATACGTTAGAAAATCCTCCATTATCTTCTCAATGAACTGCTCAGTATCGTCGGCCAGCAGCTCGGAACGCATAAACTCCACAATTGTCTCAGTGTGAGATTGCATCTGTATGCGAACGGGTGCTTTGAGGTAGAGTTTCTTCGTTTCTAGATTCCACGAAGCGTACTATATGGTTACAAAGAGAAGAGAATTTTTAGTTCTGATAACATGGATAGATATTTGCATTTACTTTGGACATGTTCCGGTAAAAGGTCTTGCCGTTCTGTCGAAATGGCTCGTACTTTTGCAATATACATTTAGAGTCCACCTGCCAAATGGTGGGCCAATCGTTAACCAAATCCGCACGTAAAACGATAAAGTCTCCGGTCTGTGCAAGAGTTAAAAGAAAAATTGAATATTAATGATTGATTTAAACGGGCGTAATGAGTTCTTATTGCTGAACATACTTTAAAGTTCTCAGCCGTGGCTGGTGTTCCCGTTGGTGCACTTCCATAACCAACATCTGCCCCACCCTGCAGATCCTGCTGCGGATTATAGCCATCGCTAGAGACATGCAATTGTGGCTGCTGCTGCTGCTGTGCCGCCTGCAGCTGTTGCAACTGCTGGTGTTGATGCAAATGCGTTGTTGGCTGGCAGTAGGTGTTCTTGCGCGGCGTTCCCTTGATGCGTCGTGCTGCTTTTCGCTTGCCATAGCCCTTGCCGCCGTCGTCACTCTGTTTGATAAGGAATAGATTAACAAACGACGAACGGGCGAGCAAGCTCTTGCTAGAAGAAACAGAGGAAACACTTACATCTTCCTCCTGCGGCGTCCAAACGGGATCCGTGTCCGAGTCGGTGAACTCCTCTGGCTCACCAACCGCACCGCCCTCCCCAATAGTTGATGTATTCAAGAGAAGCGCGTGCATGCTGCTCTCCTTGGCCTTGCGGGAGCATTGCTCCCGACGCGGCGGCAAGTTTAAAGGGTCTGTGAAGAGCACAAAAGTAGTTAGCAAGCATCATCAATGTGGTGGGGCGGCGGAACGGCAAACACAATGGCAATCAAGCCAATCGCCGAACAACAACTACGTCAACAACATAAACCCACAGCCGAGAAGCCATCGAGGGAGACTGCCGCTGCAGCCGTTCCGGCTCACAAGTAAATAATAAAAATACAAGTTTTTATTTTTTGATGATTTTTTTCTTTTCTTTTTAAATTAATAATATTTGTTCTCGGTATTCCATCTCAAAAATACTTATACTTTCTTTTTCTTTTTTTTTTCTTCTTTTTTTTTTTTTTTGTTTTTTTTTGCTCTTGCGTTTCGGCATTATAACAATTTTAAAAGTTAAGTTTATGTATTCGGTTTTTACATATGCACAGTGTCCATGTCCCTGGTATTAAGGTTCGTTGTCTGTCTCGTCTGTCGGGTCACATGGATCATGGATGCGATGTGGTCATTATCGCGACTAATGCTGCCACGGCCAAATCAGATTAATAAGGTGATGATGATTGGGGGCGGCTGGTGTTGCCACGCTAACAGCTGTGTTGATGGCGGCTGCCGCCGTTGACGCGTCGGCGGCGGCGGGTGTGTGATGGTGGTTGTTGTTGTTGTTGTAATTGTTGTTGCATGGCGCAGCAGTAGTTGCGATAGTAGAGTGCTTATTGGAATTATGCTGTTGGTCAAGTAACATACCTTGACTGCCGCTCCCGCTTCCACCAACACCAGAACCCAACTGCGCGCAATGCTGCTGCACGAAATGCTGTGCGGCGCCCAATCCCGGCGAATCCTGTTGCTGCTGGGCGTATGGCCGAAACGAGGATGTCGTCTGATCGGCTGCGGGATGCTGTATGACAGAGGTAGATGTTGATTCAGCGGCTGCTGCTGCGGCAGCTGCCGCCGCCACCATTTGTGCATGCGGCCTCTTTTTCGGCAGTATTTGAGTTTGTGAGAGTATTTTGATGCGATGCCCATCGTCTCCGACGAGACCGGCCAGATTCTGTGCCGCTTGATTGTCCGTCGCTGCTGCACCCGCTGCTGTTGCCTGCGACGTGGACGCTTCATCACCGGCACCAGCCTTGCCTTTGCGTTTATAGGGAGCACGTGGATAATTAAGCTTGCGCGAAGGCTTCACCACTGGCGGCGGATCATCGTCACGATCGCCTTGAAGAAATTTCAGATAACTATCCATAAACTGTGTCTTCTTTTCCCCAATTGACGTGCCCACGCTGACTGGCTTTGGTGCGGCGGGGCTGTACGTTGTTGACGTCGTGCCGGATGTGCTAAGTGTTGTAGTCGCCGGCGTTAACCCGTTATTGCTGCAATCGTGCGTTGTAATAGAAGGCGGCTCCGGTGAAGGCGTTTTGTTAGGATTACGTATGCCAAAGTTTGTATTGTTTGTCGAGGAGTTCGTGTTGCGCCCATTAGTTGTCAGCGAATTGGCATATCCCTGTTTAGGTGCACTATTCGCATCAGCCAAAAAATCCAGCTCCTCTTCTATGTTTGGCACAATGACCTTATTGCTGGCCTCGGTGGCAGCTGCAGCTGCAGCTGCCGTTTCCTCCTCTTGCTGATGCACAGCCTCAACCTTTTCTTGCTGATGTTGCTGCTGCTGCTGTTGTTGTTGTTGTTGCTGTTGTTGGTGCTGCAATTGTTGTGCATAGACCTGCTGCTGCTGCTGTTGTTGCTGTTGTTGTGTGTAGACCTGCTGTTGCTGCTGCTGTTGTTGTTGTTGTTGCTGCTGCTGTTGTTGTTGTTGCTGTTGTTGCTGCTGCATACACGCCGTGTACTGGGATGCAATGGGTTGCGGAAACGCTGGATAGTACTGGGCAAGCTGCGTGAGGTGCGATTGCGCCTGTGACGATTGCAAGTGTGCGGGCTGCGGCAGATGTTGCTGCTGCTGCTGTTGCTGCTGGGAGGACTGTTGATGTTGCTGGCTGTGCTGCGGATATGTGGGTATGTTGATGGTTGTCGCCGGTGACACAGACGCCGCATTGTTCTCCGTTTTGAGCGGCGCATTCCACTTGCTATTAAAATCGTAATACGTATTTTGCTGCTGTTGCTGCTGCTGATTATGCTGCTGTTGCTGCTGCAGCTGGTGGTGCTGCGATTCCTGTGGACTGCGAACGGTGCTGTACTCGCTACTCGGAATGAGCGTCTTCTTCGGCTGTCGCTTGCGCGGCGTCTTTGCTGGCTTAGGTGGCGGCTTTACGTCCTCCTGCAAATGGACCAACAATAGGATTTTGATTAACACACTGGCTAATGTGTTGCTTCAAATTGGTTATGTATTAAGTTTGCATGTGGGATATATTTATAAAATGTAGTACAAAGATCACATAAAACTTCCTCAACAACGTCACGTCACAGTTTCAAATTGACCACAAGATTTTGCCAACAAAACAATTAGCTATGATTGCAATAATTTAATAGTTTTAACAGAACGTACGTATGTATTTATATTTAGAAACAAATAAGATTTATAATCAAATGAAAACGAAAGACCGCCACCAAATTGTAAACAATAACAGTATAGAAAAGATAACAGAAGGTGAAGAGCGAGTACATATATACTGTTATGTATGTTAACATAAATGCTTTGCATAAATACACATTCAGACAAATTAATAGCAGTTTCTTTCCATACATATATATACATAGTTGGAATATGTACATACTTTGTTATACACATGGCTAAAATAGGTTCGATTATGAACTAGTTCTGCCTGTTAAAATCGATTACAAATCTGTATAACAGCCGTTAGGTAAACTGAACGCGAAAACAAAACACACAAAATAATAACAAAGCATAAGCAAAACAAACTTAAACAGACCAACAAAACAAACGAAAAATTAATCCAAAATAAATACATACAAATGAAATACAAACCTTTGGCACTGTTTGAATCTGTGACGCTAAGCTGCTCGAAGTCCCTGTCCCTGGTGACAATATCATATTAGCCACAACGTGCTGTCGCCGGCCTTGCGGCGAGCTAGCACTCTGCTGCTGTTGTTGCTGTTGCAACAAATGCTCCTGCGCCACTGCCTGCGCCTGTGCCTGTTGCAAGGACACTGCCGCAGGTGAATCTACATCAACAACGGCCGGCTGATAGAACGTTTGTTTTATCTCAAGACCTGGAGGCAAATTAAACACGAGATTCTCGCTGTTATCTGCACCGCCAGCTGCATCATTGGCATAGTCCAGCTGCCGATGCTCTTGCTTGACGTGCAACTGCAACACACTTTTAATCTCCTCCTGCCCATCCTCTGGCTTTGTCCAGCAGTGCTGCTGCTGCTGCTGTTGTTGTTGTTGCTGCTGCTGCAAGTGCTGCTGTTGCTGCTGTTGCAGCGTGCTTTGTATCACAGATGAGTAGGCCACCGTTGTGGGCGCTGCAGACGAACCCGCGCCTGCCACGTTCATAACGGTGCGTCGCGATACTGGGGAACCAGCCGCAGCTGCCGCCGACGCGGATACCGGCGCCGTTGTCTTATAGACAATCACCTGTGGTGATCCGCCCACATCGACCGTGTGTAAATTCGTGATAGGTGATCCGTCCGCAGAGCTCAATGCAGGACTCGCATACTGCGCCGCATAAGCAGGGCTAACATTCTGCTGTTCGATGTGTATCGTTTGCGGATCCTTGCGAGCCAACTTCAGTTTTTGACCATCCATGGTGTAATAGGTCTCCGTCTCGGCAATCTCATGTTGCAATTGTTCCTGCTGCTGTTGTTGCTGCTGCTGCTGCTGCTGCTGCTGTTGTTGTTGTTGTTGTTGCTGCTGCTGCTGTTGTTGTTGTTGTTGCAATTGGGTCAAGTAAATTAGTTCGTTGTACGCTTTGATTTGCGCCTTTGCTTGTTGTGAATTTTCTTGTTTGATTTGCTACAGATACGTTGTTGTTGTTGTAGCCGCAGAAGTTTGGTTGGCAGGTTGATTTTTTGTTTTTGTACATAAATTTGATGGAAACGGAAATTGTTTTGTTCGGATTTCGTTACATATTTACAGTACATACATAGACAGTTAGGCATAAGTTGAGGCATAGTCTAAGCAGAGTTAGTATTAGGGAACTTGAGGGAGCATCAAAAGGGGCCCAGCAGATACCAGAGTTTGCAATTGAGCTAGACTCAAATTAGCTACTATTCAAGTAAATGGCTCCAAGTTAAGCGTAGAGTTATCAGTAGTACTCAGCAGGGAATAATTGGGAATACTAACAATAATCGGCAATCAATTGTTTCTCGGTCACTTCAATTATTTTCTTAAAGGAATGCTATACCCTCTTTTTGTTAAGTGCAAAGCCTCCATATTAATGGAGATATTAGAAAATACCACCGATTAGTATGCATTGAGAATTGCTTTTAGGAGGACACCAACACACACTCACACACACAACCTGAGCCCCTTGAGCCCCTCCTGGCCATGGCCATCTGCAACTCTGTGTTAAATTTGGTTGCAATAATTACTTTTAATACTCACCACTTTGTCAGCCACTAGGTTCAGTTGCTGTTGTTGCTGCTGCTGTTGCTGTTGTGCCTGCTGCTGTTGCTGCTGCATGGCAAGGAACGTGTTGGATATCATGTTGGGTGTGTTCCACGTCAGCGAAGTCGATGTCAGAGCCACTGTAGTGGGTGACGGCGAGGCGCCGCTGGACGATGAGTTCTCGCCGTAGTAATTGGAGGCAACATTGTTGACAGCAGCGGCTGCTGCAGCGGCGGAGGAAACAGCGGCTACCGCAGCTTGGTTTTGAAAGGAGCTAAGCTGTTTGTCCAGCGATGTGGGCAGTTGCAGTTGCTGCAGCTGTCGGTGCGGTGTGTTGACCGTCGTTGAGGCATAGTGCGCCGGCTTGGGCTGCACGCTAGCGGCGGCCGCATGATGATATATCTGCTGGAATACTGGATTGTAGCTGCCGATCGGCGATGGTGGCACGAAACTGCCGCCGCTCGCTGCAGCCGCGTTAAAACTAGCAAGGCTGGCCGCTGTAATTGTCGCTAAGTGCGGGTGCTGAAATTCCTCCGCTGAGCTGCCCGTGCTGCCTGCGGAACCGGGTACGATGCGATTGTAAGCGTAAGACCAGGGGCTGGAGTTGGGATCCATGTGGGGTGCTTGAGCTGGAAGCAGGTTTAGGGTTAATTTTCAATTTCAGTGTGGGATAAACATCAAATGCAGACTCCAGGGCTGCGAGTACAGACACCGTCTGCTCAATGCCCCGTCGAGACATACATACACGCATATGTACATGTAGAAATTTTTGTTTTTTGTTTGTATTGCATTGCAACTCACTTAACGCATTCACTTATTTATGTTTTTGCAGTTAAAATATGTTTAAAAGGCTACATCAATACAGTTGTGCTTTATGCAGCCCTTGCGACAAGTGCATTTTTCGCAGATACTTTGATATTTATACATATACACACATACATACAATGATAAATTATGCCGCGCACAATTTGGCGTGTTTTGGCAGTTACTGGAAGGCACATTTTTCTATTTTTACATGTTTTTTTTCAATTAAATCAAACAATTTTATTATGCGCTTACATACATATGTATGCGTGTAAGTTTGTACATCAGTTGATATTTCCTTTGACCACTTTTAACATGTACATACTTATGTATGTATGTATGCTTAAAGTATATGTATGCATGTACATACATACATGTGTGCGTGCGTTGAGAGATAGTCACTGGCGAAGCAACTTGTTCGTTTTACTGCTTCGTTGGTTTCACACTTCGATGGATCATCTTTATTTTTAGCTTTGATTATGCACTTGTCTATTTACGTTACAATTTTAAGTAAATTTATTTTGTAAACTACTACAATTGGGCTGCATAACTTTTTTGTGGGTGAAACAATCTCCAAAATGGCCGCTCAAGTACAAATGAACTGTTGTTCATTTGAACAATGCACACGTGAATCAGTTCGATGAAATTCGTGTGCTTATGTTAGCCTGAGTGTTAAGTTTTTGTCTTGTATTTGCTATTATATTATTTTATATTTAATTATTTGCTTGGTGAGTTGACCTTCCGGTATGCCAGAATTATATTTTGAATCTTAAATGCAAGCTCACATACATTTATAACAACGTGCGAAAATACAATATTTATGTATGTAAACATGCACATAAATCTATATTATTCATACTATCCAACAAGTGTTGTAAAATGTGATATATTTATACACCAGCGGTCAATTAAATCGTCGCAGGCCATTGTAAGGCCAGTTCCTTAGTCTTAACATCGATTTGATGCACATAATCTAATAAAATCTTACTTAATTTATTATTATTAGTGCATTCAAACATTTTTACAGCATGCGGAAAATAAAATGTTCACACCGTTGAAGTAGAATTAACACAACCATGTTAATAGAAATTATCCGGGTTGTTATGCAAAGTAATACTAACTATATTTTGTTAAAAAATATTTTTAATTTATATTAGTAGAACAAAAAATTCTATTAATCGTATCGGACTTTAAAATAATAATTTTATATTATCGATAAATTGTCATCTCTATTAGTGACTGTCGTTTTACTCATTTCTACAAAGATTTTTTTTACAAAAAAAAAAACTTGTGAAGAGTACGCATATTAAAAATTAAAATTTGTATATGCGCAGAAAATAAAAAATAAAAAGCTAAACTATCATTTCGTAAAAAACAACCAAAGTGGTAGGTATTTAAGAATTTGGTTAATGAAATTCATCATTGCACATATCTTGATATTTCCACATATCTACGTGTAAGTGAAAATACGCCCATTAACTGTAAACATGTCTGCGTGTAAAATTTTCTAGAGTACAATATGGATTTCGGTGATGATTTTGCTACCAAAGAGGAAGTCGATCCAGCAGCAGAGTTTCTGGCCCGCGAGCAATCGGTTCTGGGGGACCTTGAAGCGGAAATAACTGGTGGATCTGCAACAAATGCAGCTGCAGCACCTGCAACTGACGATGGACTACTTGGCGGTTTAGTCGGCGCCGGGGCCGAGCTGGGTAGCGAACTATCTGCAAACATTGGAGGTGGTTTCGAATCGTCGACGGGCAGCTTCGAAGTCATCGGAAGCGAGTCGAACGAGCCAGTTGGAATCTCAGGACCGCCGCCGTCGCGTGAAGAGCCCGAGAAAATACGCAAATGGCGTGAGGAACAAAAACAGCGGCTGGAGGAAAAGGATCTTGAAGAGGAACGCAAGAAAGAGGAATTACGTCAGCAGTCCAAGAAAGAGCTGGACGACTGGCTTCGTCAGATTGAGGACTCCATTTCCAAAACAAAACTATCGTCTCGCAACGCTGAGGTACAGGCCGCATCATTGGAGAATGGGGCTGTCGAGCCTGGCACCGAGTGGGAGCGCATTGCCAAGCTGTGCGAATTCAATCCTAAAGTCAATAAATCAGGCAAAGATGTCTCACGGATGCGTTCTATTTATCTGCATCTGAAGCAGAATCCCATACAAGTGCAAAAAATCGCCTAAGATACATATAAACCAATTAATGCACCTAATCAAATTTGAATATTTAGATTCTGATGAAAGTATTTTTTGTAAATTCCAATTATATTAAATATATATTACTTTAATTTTGCCTCTATTATATGATAATATTCATAATGAATAAAAAAGAATCAGACACATAAATGTATCTTATTACTATTAATTATTTGGTCGAAATCAAAACCAAACCAAGTGAATCTCAATTTATTTATTTCAATGTTTATTTTCAGTGTAATGCCCAAGGAACGCAACGAGAAAAGCGAGGAGGCGGCAGATCTTACTGCAAGCTTGGCGAAGCTGCATATTCAAAAGCGACAGGATTACTTACATTGGGATGATTACTTCATGGCCACGGCCGTACTCTCGTCGAGGCGTAGTAAAGATCCCTCCACGCAGGTTGGCGCATGCATTGTGGATAAGCATAAGCGTATTGTAGCAATTGGTTACAATGGATTTCCGAGAGACTGTAGCGATGATGTTTTTCCCTGGTCGAAAGACGAGAGTGATCCTTTGGAAAATAAGAATATGTATGTGGTTCACGCGGAAGCCAACGCTATACTCAATAGCAATAGCACTAGTCTGGATGGTACTCGCCTCTACACGACTCTTTTTCCCTGCAATGAGTGCACGAAATTAATCATACAATCGGGTATACGAGAAATATACTACATATCTGACAAGTATGCGGAAAAACCAACCTATCAAGCCTCCAAGCGGATGCTCGATGCAGTTGGCATCGTCTACCAGCGACACGTTCCAACGCAAAAGCAGATTATTATCAACTTTGACGAAACCCTTAAGGGGGAAAGCAAATAATAAACCCGGTTTTGAACACCTTATTTAAAATCTATGTCAGTTAATCCAGGTGTACGGTTCCTAAGGCAAAAGATTGCAGCTAAGTTTAAAAGTATAATAAACCTGGTTTTAAAGAGTAAATGTTAAAAAACACTAAAAATTAATTTGATTACGTACTCTATAATTTCTGATTCTATTTAATATAAAACTATAAAAACGAATTCCAAAAAAAATTTCTAAGTTATAGCCTTTGTACTCGGTTAGTATATAATTTAGCAAGATAATAACTCATCCTGAATTTTGACCACCGACCGAAACAATATCTAGAAAAACACAATTACTTATACATACATATTGGACATATCTATATTTCTAAGTCGGGTCTTCGGTTCTGGCTCATGCAACTATAAAAAAATACAGGATTTAGTGCAAATCTGTTGAATCGGTAACGTTTGAATTCTCCTCAGACTTTTTGGACACGGGCGAGTCAGAAAGACGTGGCGAAAGGTCGCGCAGTTTTACAACATTGCCCACTGAAACCGAATTGGCCGCCTCTGTAACAGAATAGCCGATGTCCGGCGGTGTACCTTCCGGATAGCCTAAATAGTAATCAGCAATGCGACCAGCCTCACGTAAGCCGCTCAAATACGCGCCGTGCACAGTCGCTGGGTAGTTGCGTATCGTGTGCTCGCCCGCAAAAAAAAGGCGAGGTAGCTCTTCGGATTCTTTGCTAAAATGTGGCTCGAAACTTGTAGGCGGGATGACTGGTGCTGCAAGAAGATCATAGTCACTGCCAGAGGAACCTACAGAAACATAACTATATGATCCACGGGCCCACTGATCGCTGCGCCAACGAGTGACGACCGTCTCCTTGGGCTGAGGCACCGATGTGTTGCCAAATATATTTTTTAGTACAGACATACAGCGTCCGATAATGATGTCATCCGTCACGCTCTCAACAATATTGGCTGCCATGCCAGCGACGAGGGCCAGCAAAACCGGTGACGAGCTGATGCTCCAGAACAGAAACATTTCTCCTTTAAAGTAAACATTTTTGAAATGGTTTTCAAGTGAATGGAAGCACAAGTGTGCCACTCACCACGACTGGCAGTGGTGCTGCCCACATGGCCAAAGAGATTCGCATTGGGATCCCAGAATATACGATCAAAACAGAGCACAACCTTGTTGAGATTACCAAATCCCAGGCGACGTATGGCTTGTTGCTTCCAGTCTGGCAGTGGTGGATCAAATTTAACGGTATTGCCATGCTGTGACTCTTCCTGTGTGACCGCTACCTTTAGAACGCCCAGGGTAAGCGTACAGACGGCCAAATCGGCCTTGTATGTCATTTGCGAGTTGGAAGTTTTCAGATTTTCAGCCACAATCTCTACACCTTTGCTGTTGTACTTAATTTCTTTGACGGCGCTATTGAGCCGTATGTCAATGTTCTCGGTAAGCGCGACTGGGACACAGGAGTAACCATTACGCACTGTTGTATGGTGTCCAATAAACTCAAAGTCATCATCCTGATCCCAATGCTTTAGCGACAAGTTGTCCAAGCGTGTGGCATTCGCGAATTCCAGATTGGCAAAGTGCCAGTCAAGTATCAGACGGTCGCGTGAGGATAGATACACCTGGCTGCGTAAATTATATATTATATGAATCCTAATGTTCATTTAAATAATATCCACGTACCTCGGTCCGTTTTGTTCTAGCTCTTGGAGCTTGATCTCCATCTTATGCCCCTCACTGCGCAGCTCCGCTTCGACATTGACAAGGTCTTCCAGCTTAATTTGAGTGGTGCGAATAGTGTATTCTTGGCACGCATAACCATTTTCGTTCTGGGTGCCCTTTGGTACGCGCTGTTTGACTAATGTTTGAAGTTCAGCCTTGAGCGTTGCAATCTTCTGTAGAATGCTCTTCAGCTTTTTTCGGTGCTCAATTATTTTTGTTTGAGCAGCAATAATCTCTTGCATATGTGCGGCGCGCTTCTCCTGCACGGCCTTGTCCTGCATATTAATAATCCACTCCAGAGCATCGCCCAATGAGACCGGATTATTGCCGGCGTAGTTAAAGTCCAGACGATGCGACAGATAGCTAGCCGATTCAAGAAGTCGATTAAATTCGCGCTCAATAACATCATCTTTTTCCTTTGGCACTGGTTTGCCATCGGGCCCGTATAGTGGACATGTCTGCTGAATTGGCACCAGATCCATGCCAATCTGCTTGCTCAGAATAGTCATGGGATTGCCGTAAACGCCCGTCACCACCATAGCGCCCAGGTCGGCAATATAGCTGTTTTTGCGAAAAGTGGCAATACGCCCCCCAACTCGGTCTCTCGCTTCCAACACGATCACATCCATGCCGAACTGTTGCAACTGTTGCCCAACTGCCAGTCCAGAAATACCCGCACCAATCACGATTACCTTGCCAAGCTTCTTGATGGGTATGGGAGTTATTCGCTTGAAGATGCCGAAATTGATAAAGCCGTGCCGCTCCAAAAATGAGTGTACACGTCGCACCAGATTTGGGTCACTGTCGAAGGGCGGCGGCAGCCGTTTAAGCGCATTATCAAAAGTCAACTGGGTTTTGGGATTATCCACCCACATGTGCAGCAGACCGTTGCGTATATTAAGGAAAACTCGGTGCCCCAGTATGCCCGAGCGGCTAATATCCGGAAAGCACGCCTCCTCATTAGGTGTCATTTTGCTAAAGGGCAGGCGGGACTGAAAGACTGCACCTTCCTGCCCGGAAAGTACCGTTGGGGTGCTGTTATCGCGTGCATCCCCATTGGTGCCATTTGTGTCCTTTGGCAAAGCGCCGCGGGTGCCAGAGGCTGCGCTCTGATGAACTGCTGTCTCCGACTTCCGGGAGCGCAGATCCGTCTGCACATGACCGCGTTTATCCGATAGTCCAGTGCTGCTACCTGAAGAGCCCGAGCTGCACTTTTCAAAAGACGCATTCTCCGCACTAACCGTTGCCGGCTTATTCGTGTAGTCGACTTTGGGCTTGTTGCGCCGGCTAGTGCGCCGCTCGTCACTGGTCGCAGGTGTGTCGTTGGAGTCGTCGTCAAATTTTGCCTTCGTTTGGTTACCGGCTTGACTGCCGCCTCCTGTGGGGTTTCGTTTGGGAGACGGCTCCCCGTCAGAGTCGTCGCTAATCAGGGTTACATACTCGATGGGTTCGCCCATTTTGCCGGTGCTGGTACTACTGCCACCGGACTGAGTAGGCTTCATGCCAGAGCTGTTGATAAATTGAAAATCGAAACTGAGCTGTGAAACACAACGCGAGTCTTTTCCTAATTTGACTACTTACAATTTTATACTCGTATAAATTCAAAACTCAAGTCGACAAAAAAATGTGTATATAGTAGCTCAGCACGGATTTATTTTACACATTTTTTTTTATTAGTTTGCCGTCACTTGCTGTCGGTCTGATATTTGCACGCGTGTTTATTTAATTTTGCAGTTTTAAATGTTTTTCGTTTAGCATTGCAAAAACAAACTTGCAACGAGCGACGGCGTTTTATCGTGTAATAGAGGAAAGAGATGGACTATTTGGTTGTAATCAGCACGCAACTTAACAGTGACACGAAACTTAACACTGTCTGGAACTGTTGAATAGCAGGATAACTAACAGCATAACATTAATAACAAAAAAAAACCAACAACTTAATATAATAATATCAAGATTATCAATTGAAACAATCATTTTGAGATTTTGTTCGAAATGAAAAGGTAAGTTGCAAGAACCTTTTAAGCTGAGGCAGTGTTGTAAAATATCAATCGATTTTTCTATCGATACCGAGTATCTATGCGATATTTTTTCCATTTTTAAGTTAACGGAACCGCAATTTACTGTTTTATTATTTTGGTAGAACAACCAATCGTAAACCTAACAGTATCTTTAACATCATTATTTTCGGCTGCAAGTTATGCGTTTAGCGAGTTTATTGTTGCGAGGGTAATAATAAAGATAAGATTGGCTAAACAAATGTTCTGATTTTATAAAAATATGTTAAGTTCAGGAAATACATGGTTTAAACATCAACTGCAATTCACATGTACACATAAACAAACTATACGTGCGTTCCTGCTGTCAACTATTTGATTGACACCTACACATCCTAGTACGCACACACATATGCACATACATACGTATGTACAAATATGTATGTATGTATATATTGACACGGCTAGTAGTTCAGTCACGACCATCACAGCACTCGTCGTAAATAATCTTACTAGAGCAGCCTTGCACTGACTCATCGAAAAAGTAATCCCAATGGCAGGTGCTCTCCTCAACTTCGACGCCGTCCACACACGTAATATAGTTGTGGCAGTCGTTGCTGCTGCTGGTAACGAGCATGGTGCCACGCCCTTCACAACGGTTGTGTGTGCACACCACTGAAGTGGGCAGGCCGCATTTCTTGTTAATGTCATCGAAGAAGTAGCCCTCTGGACACTGGGCCCACATGGGATCGATGTCGGGAACGGCACCGAGGTCGGCGCAATAGAAGTAGCCACGGCAAGTGGCGCCGTCCGATTGGTAGCCAGTAATCGGACTATTTTTGGACAAGCATACATCCTTCTTGGAATGCGCTGTGCATTTCACTTTACTTTTAGGCGCACAGTCGCCGATCTCTACATCAAAGTACTGCGTTGACGTGCAAGTCTTAAGCGTATGCTTTCCATTCTTGCATTCATAGTACTCGTTACAGTCATCCTCTTGTCGAAACTTGGTCTTGTCGGGCAATATTTCGCATATATTTGCTACGTCCACGCAAAGCGAGTCGACTCCATACTGGCACGACTGCGTGGTTTCATTGAAATGCTGCGAATTCTCGCAATGACCGCCTAGGGCCTCGCCATTCCTGCAGTAGAAATAATTTTGGCAGTCTGTTGGATCGGCTACCCATTTTCCATTCAATCCCTCGCAAAGGTTGCCACAGTAAATGCTATTGCTTGCCGTTGCCTTCTTGCACTCCTGTGAACTTGGCTCAAAGACCAGGGAATCGGCACAGGTGTGTAGTACTCCCGTGTCGTTTATGCATTCAATGTACTCGTCGCAGGTGCCGGGCTTGCGGATGTGAGTGCCATTTTTGAAAAGGCGGCACATACCAGCGAAATCGTGCAACGCGTGCAATGGATGGGGCAGGCATATTGCTAGTAGGACTACTCCGATACCGAATCGCAATGACGCTAAATATGAATTTGAAAAGTAATTTTATGTATATCATATATGTACATGAACAGCAGTGTAAACAATTCATTCAAACTCTATGTACTAGTACTCAGGCGAAACACCTGCGACTTTAAATGTCTTCTTTTTTTTTACCCACCGTGCATTTTTGATTGGGAAATTCCACTTACTAACAACTTATTAAAGACAAGGGTACGGTGCGACTGCTCAAACTGTCTGTCTATGACTAAATGCAGATTGGTGCTTGAAGAGAACTTATATTTGGGGTGGAATATTGCTGATACTGATACCTGATTCTGCAAAAAATTAGGGGGAATGTGTTCTGAGCGGCTCAAATCTTATCTGCGTTTTGCTAAAAATATGCAGATATTGCAAACTATGGCGGGACAAAATAGAGAATTTGTTTAATTTAAAGTCTGACAAGAACCAACGCATTCCCTTAAAACAAAGAGTGCTGAAAAGTTTCCAACATACCTAAACAATTTTTAGCGATAGATAATGTTCTTGTTTATGTACATAGTAATAGCCAGCTGACTGTAGAGCTTTTACATACATACACACATACATATGTACATATGATTCTCCCCTCGTAAATCTGCCAAATTGATAAACTGATTGTCGAACAGCGTTCATTAACTGTATTGAACTAATGGTAAATAGGTGAACAACACATGTCACATTTCGAACCCTGCCTAAGTTAAATTATTTAAAAAACCTTAAAGCAGATATGGGAATTCTTTTCAATAGTGTTCGACTAGGAAATACCCTAACTTACACAGCACATTAACATTTACCTATATATGATAAAATAAATTCTGATCGACTTCAAACCCATTTCTTTATATCTTATTAAAAATTCCTTTGACCAAAATTTGCAAATATTCACCGACACATTGCACTACGTCACAGCTTCAACTAAAGACCAGCTGCATTGGGTGCCGAATCTTCTACTTATACTCTTCTTCTTGCTAGCTTACACTCATACTAAAAACCTTTCGTTAAAATTACAGACAAAAAAAACAACGCACAAGCACATTAGCACACCACCTGCACTGGGCCGCCTCGCAGGCTCAACTGAAACCAAGCTGCAATGGGCAGCCCTATTTATACTATTGGCCCTACTTCTGGAGAGCTTACATTGATCTGCTTTAATATTCTTAAGCAAACTCACCACCCGCACTATGCCGCGTCGCAGCTTCGACTGCAGGCCAGCTGCAATGGACAGCGACTTTTATACTGCTGGCTCTTCTTGCTAGCTAACACTCATATTAATAATCTTTCGTCAACATTACAAATAAAAAACACGCACAAACACATTAGCACACCAACTGCACTGGGCCGCCTCACAGGCTCAACTGAAATCAAGCTGCAATGCGCAGCCGTATTTATACTATTGGCTCTACTTCTGGAGAGCTTATACTGATCTGCTTTTATACTTTTACATAAATACACCATCCGCACTATGCCGCGTCGCATCTTCGACTGCAGGCCAGCTGCAATGGACAGCGATTTTTATACTGCTAGCTCTTGTTCTTGCTAGCTTACACTCATGTAAAAAAAAAAAAAAAAACACGCACAAACACATTATCACACCACCTGCACTGGGCCGCCTCGCAGGCTCAATTGAAACCAAACTGCAATGGGCAGCTCTATTTATACTATTGGCTCTACTTCTGGAGAGCTTACATTGATCTGCTTTTATATTCTTAAGCAAACTCACCACCCGCACTATGCCGCGTCGCAGCTTCGACTGCAGGTCAGCTGCAATGGACAGCGATTTTTATATTGTTAGCTCTTCTTCTTGCCAGCTTACCCTCATATTGATAATCTTTCGTTAACATTACAAAACAAAAAACACGCACAAACACATCAGCACACCAACTGCACTGGGCCGCCTCGCAGGCTCAACTGAAATCAAGTTGCAATGCGCAGCCGTATTTATACTATTGGCTCTACTTCTGGAGAGCTTACACTGATCTGCTTTTATACTTTTACATTAATACACCATCCGCACTATGCCGCGTTGCATCTTCGACTGAATACCAGCTGCAATGGACAGCGATTTTTATACTGCTTGCTCTTCTTCTCGCTAGCTTACACTCATACTTACAAACCTTTCGTTAACATTACAGACAAAAAAAAAACGCACAAGCACATTAGCACACCACCTGCACTGGGCCGCCTCGCAGGCTCAACTGAAATCAAGTTGCAATGCGCAGCCGTATTTATACTATTGGCTCTACTTCTGGAGAGCTTACACTGATCTGCTTTTATACTTTTACATTAATACACCATCCGCACTATGCCGCGTTGCATCTTCGACTGCAGCCCAGCTGCAATGGACAGCGATTTGTATACTGCTAGCTCTTGTTCTTGCTAGCTTACACTCATGTAAAAAAAAAAAAAACACGCACAAACACATTACCACACCACCTGCACTGGGCCTCGCAGGCTCAACTGAAATCAAGTTGCAATGCGCAGCCGTATTTATACTATTGGCTCTACTTCTGGAGAGCTTACACTGATCTGCTTTTATATTCTTAAGCAAACTCACCACCCGCACTATGCCGCGTCGCAGCTTCGACTGCAGGTCAGCTGCAATGGACAGTGATTTTTATATTGTTAGCTCTTCTTCTTGCTAGCTTACACTCATACTAAAAACCTTTCGTTAACATTACAAAAAAAAAAACACGCACAAACACATTAACACACCACCTGCACTGGGCCGCCTCGCAGGCTCAATTGAAACCAAGCTGCAATGGGCAGCTCTATTTATACTATTGGCTCTACTTCTGGAGAGCTTACATTGATCTGCTTTTATATTCTATTATATTATATTTAAGTAAACTCACCACCCGCACTATGCCGCGTCGCAGCTTCGACTGCAGGTCAGCTGCAATGGACAGCGATTTTTATATTGTTAGCTCTTCTTCTTGCCAGCTTACCCTCATATTGATAATCTTTCGTTAACATTACAAAACAAAAAACACGCACAAACACATCAGCACACCACCATCACTGGGCCGCTTTACAGGCTCAACTGAAACCAAGCTGCGATGGGCAGCCCTATTTATACTATTGGCACTACTTCTGGAGAGCTTACATTGATCTGCTTTTATATTCTTAAGCAAACTCACCACCCGCACTATGCCGCGTCGCAGCTTCGACTGCAGGCCAGCTGCAATGGACAGCGACTTTTATACTGCTGGCTCTTCTTGCTAGCTAACACTCATATTAATAATCTTTCGTCAACATTACAAAAAAAAAAAACGCACAAACACATTAGCACACCAACTGCACTGGGCCGCCTCGCAGGCTCAACTGAAATCAAGTTGCAATGCGCAGCCGTATTTATACTATTGGCTCTACTTCTGGAGAGCTTACACTGATCTGCTTTTATACTTTTACATTAATACACCATCCGCACTATGCCGCGTTGCATCTTCGACTGAATACCAGCTGCAATGGACAGCGATTTTTATACTGCTTGCTCTTCTTCTCGCTAGCTTACACTCATACTTACAAACCTTTCGTTAACATTACAGACAAAAAAAAAACGCACAAGCACATTAGCACACCACCTGCACTGGGCCGCCTCGCAGGCTCAACTAAAACAAAGCTGCAATGGGCAGCCCTATTTATACTATTGGCTTATTCTTGAGAGCTTGAATTGATTTTATTTAATATTTTTACACAAAAACAAGGCTACAACGGAACGATTTGTATACTGCTGGCACTTCTTGCTAGCTCACACTGATGTTAATAATCTTTCTTAAGCATTTATACATCCCTTACTCCCATACTCGTTAAGCCCATGCCTGGGCCGGTTTACCTATCTTTAATAAACAGTTTTATTTAATTTTTTTTCTTTTTCAAATTTTTAAAATTTTGTACCTCTATGACAATGTTATAATTATACCCTTGTAGAGGGTATTATATTATACGCTTGTAAAGTTTATATGTTCTAGATCAGCATCAACAGGCGATTTGATATTGGCATTTTTGTCAGTCTGTCTATGCGCACTAGTCGGCCACTTTTTAAGCTAAAGTATTTCTGCTGCAGGCAGTAAATATTCAGTACCGGCCCTCTATCATTGAAAAATTGCTTGTTTCCCAACATATCTTGACCAAACCCGACAATTTTAAATTTAACTATGCTTCTTATATATGAGTCAAGTCTTATCAAGATCACAGTTTTGTATTATATAGCTGTTTTCTTTGATATTTTCACCAAACTCAGGATTTACAAAATTTGCTCAAAAAACATATTTTGCTTGATCTTCCATATGTATAAAGTTATACAATAAAGGGACGTCTTAGAGTCGAAGCGTTATTTATATGTTTTTGTAATCAGAAAATATGGTTAAAAAGCTTGTTAAGCTCATCAAAGTATGCAATATTTTTACATCTAATGAAATAAATATGCAATGCAAAAATCGATATAGGTTAATTCTATCACTGAAAAAAGGATATTAGTTGTTTCGTTAAATCTTCAACCTATAAGTAATATGTCCATATTTCTGTTTAGCTAGGTCAGGGTTTTCGGTCTGTATGAACATGTCGACCTCAGACCTCATATTATGAGGACTTGAACCACCTAATTTCCTTTTTTTGGCTGAAAGCTAGTTAGTTTTTACGATTCTCGGGTTCTCGCTTAGCTCGTTTTAATACAATTACTTTGGGATTTTGTAGTATTATCCTAAAAGTATACAATCTGGTTGAGTCTTGTTTATGAATGCTCCACAGACCCGCTCTCACCATGCCAACAAAAAAAAAAAAAAAACAATCCAGTTTCAAAGACACAAGTCGCCGGAAATGGCGTTGTTCATAAATATTGTCTATGATACGGAACATTATTGACATGCCCGATGCGATTACTTGAAGAATTACGCAGATAGCTGCAGACGTCGAGTAGCTGGGCGATCAATTACTAAAATGTCATTTAATTAAAAGCTAATTACATACATAAACAGCGTTCACAATGAATTGATAATCCAAAAGCACTTGAAAAAAGTATAAATGATTAATCGGACAAGTAGGTAAAAGCTCAAAAAAAAAAATAAAATTAAAAATTAAGAAAATGTTAGGTGAATCAGAGCATTATCGCAGTTTAATTACGACACTTTTGAGGTGTTTTGGTTGCGGGTAAGCTTATCTGCAAATGTGCGAACAATTTTAATTAAACGCACCGATAGGGTATTAGGTGCCGCTGGCTAGGCCCTCTATATAAAGCATATCATGAAATTGGTAGGCTTAGTATTGAATTGGTATGCTCCTATAGCATACAATAAGTCGCTAACAACCTGAACGCAATGACGGGTAGGGCACTGATACTGATATTGAAATTGAAATGGATACCACCAAGGATTTCTAATTAAACTGACACTTTGATATCTTGCAGCTTCTCATTTGAAGGCTTTTGCCGCTTTTGCGGCCGCCTGCCTTTTGCTGGCCAGCCAGGCAAGTGCCTATACTATGGAGGACATGTGTGCTCAGTGGTCGGGCACTGGATATATTGGCAATCCTACCGATTGCACCCGCTGGGGATACTGCAAAAATCAGGAGCTTGTGGCCACAGGTACCTGTAGCAAGGGCGAGGTTTATGAACCGCAGTCGCAGACCTGCCAATACGATTCTACCACGGCGTGCACCACCAGCGCAAAGCAGACATGCGCTGCACTGAAAACTGCCGGATTTGTGGCAGAGCCTACAGATTGTACCAAATATACCTATTGCTTTGGCGATGGTACATCCGAAACTCAAACTTGCCCAACTGGTCAGATGTATGCTGCCAACAATAACTCCTGCGTTTGGGGTCCAACATGTCCACAGGATACACTCTGCCGTTTTATGCCGAACAATATTTTTGTCGGTGATCCGACCAGTTGTCAACAATATCTACAGTGCATCAATGGCTACGGAGTATCGGGAAGTTGCCCCGATGAATTTCCTTACTATAACGCTGCTAGCAATGTTTGCCAAAAAACTGATACATGCACAGGCAATGGCGGTGTAACCACTAGTACTCCACCTGTAACAAATATTCCATGCACTCCTGGATTGGAAACTTATACAGCAGATGGAGAGACTTGTTACGGATACCTATACTGCGATGGCGTCGCGGAAGAATCTGTTTGGGGATCCTGCCCCTTTGGATTGTCATTTGATGAAGCAAAACAAACATGTATCTCTCCCGCAGCCACCCTTTGTGGATCGGATCGCTGTCAAAACACGAATCTGACATTCGCAGCTGTTGTAAATACAGAGTGTAGGAGTTATACATATTGCCCGTCTAATACCGTGGGCACTTGCCCAACAGACTTTGAATATTTTGATGAGGTAATCGGGAAATGCGTGGCCGAGCAACCCAAGCAAACTATTTGTAGAGAAACACTGCCTCCGAGTTCCAACGAATAGTAAACTATAGACGAAGCCGGTGAAATTTCCGTTTTTAACTGTTGCCTTAAATTGTATGTACGTAATTAAATATTGCTAAAGTAAAGCGCATATAAATAAATCAAATCAGTTAATCTAGCATTCTGCTCAAAATGTATGCTGGCGTCTTAATTAATATGTTCATCCAGGTGCCAAGAAATACCAAGAAAATTTGATGAATCCAAACGATTTTCCTTTCCTGACAACTTTACCTGTGTAACACCTGTTGGTTGCCCTGTTACCATGGGCGGGTTCGATCAAATAAAAATGGATATTCAAATTTGTATTCCTTGGCGCAGAGTGTGCGCGGTCTTTCGGTCAGGGAAGAAATCACTCAATGTATTTGATTTCACGATAATATCGAGTTTTTTTGTTCAATATTGAATTCAAAGGGGCGTTCACTCAAGTCAATCAATGCCTGGCCACGACTCGGCTCGACATGTCAAATTTTCGTATCAGCATCGATAGAGGGTTGATGGCATACGCAGATGTTTACCATGGAGACACCGAGCCACCGAGCCAGCAATGCGACATGTTATTGCCGTGTAATTTACATGCTGGGCCCGCTATCAGATGCGAATGCTATCGCTCACATTGATTTCTGATATCAGAGACAGGCAGAAGAGACATCGACATTGTCTTCCTTGGCCCTGTGCATTTTCAAAATTGTTTTTTTCGCTAAAAGCCAATGAATGAAACGAATGAAGCTTTGCATATTTAAGAAGGCGCCGCCTGGTGGCAGCGCATCAGTCAAGTTGTGGAGCTGCACGCGGAGCTAGCGATTGTAACAATTTAAGGATACCGTTAACTGACACCGATAACACCGATAACTACCGATAACTATCGACAGCATGATGCAAGGTAACTGAACGCATTGCTGCTGATCATCATTGATCCTAACACCGTTCATTGCAGCTAGAGTGGTCCTTCCCCTGCTTGTGCTCACCCTGGCGGGCGTGGCCAGTGCCGTTAGCAAACTGGACGACATCGATCATCTGACGATGGTGGAGATGTGCGAACTGCTGCCATCAGACACGAGCTTCCTGCGCCCAAACACCTGCAACAACTGGGTAACCTGTCCGAACAATGGCACCACCATAGAGGAGGGCACCTGTGCCGCTGGACTTAACTATAATAAGGATCAGGGACGCTGTACCATGGCCTCAAATGTCGTTTGCCCATACGCAAATACTGCTGACTCCAACGCACATGTCAATGCCTGCGCCAATGAGACGGATGGCACTTTCCTTGCCGATCCCAGCAGCTATAACTGTCACGGCTACCTGCTGTGCAAGGGTCATCGCGAGGTCAAGGCCGATTGTCCCAACGAGCTGATCTTCAATCCCGAATCACACTCTTGCGTCTATTTCAACCAATATAGTTGCCCGGGATTCAGCAAGAAGACAACCTCGCCCGCCTGCCGCTCCTTGCCCGACAACACTCGCGTGGCCAATGAGGAGCATTGCCACAAGTACTATGTCTGCCTGAACGAAGTGCTCCACGAGCGCGAATGTTCCGCCCAGATGGCTTACGATGTGTCCCTGGGTCGCTGCGTCGCCGCAGCCAATGCCACCTGCTATGGCACGGCGGCGCTTCCACCGCCAGAGAACACCTTCTGCATGGTCAACGGTACAACGGCGCGTCAGGGCTACTTTGCAGATGATGAGTCCTGCAGTCACTATTACATCTGCAAAGCGCCTGCTAATGGCAAGCACGACACGAACCCCCAGCATCTGCAGTGCCCCCTCGGCTCGTACTTTGACGTCGAGAAGCTATCCTGCCGCGATCGGGTCAATGTTCGCTGCCCTCTGGACCGCTGCGCCGACTTCGCCCTGACCTATGTCAATGTGCTTGGCGACTGTCAAGCCTATGCCCGCTGCTCGAACGGTGTCCGGGTTAGCATCGGCCACTGCCCCGCCGACTACTACTTTGACGAACGCAGCCAGGGATGCACTCCCACCAACCACAACTACGTCGCCTGCGCCGCTTAAGCGTAAAAAGTAACCCAGCACGAGATGCAGTGCGTCTTCAAATTGTAATTAAATTTAACCAATTAAATCAGACATAAATTTGGTGTTAGTCGAAAGCATTGCAAATTGTTTTTGTTCTGTTTAAAATTGATTAGTCTTCGATTATAAATAGATCATAATTGGGGAAAATACGCTGCCTGCGGAAAGTTCAAAGTACCCTCAACATACGCACAATACAAATTCGAAATTCCTCAAATAACTTCAAGATTTCACTTGAACAAAGACGACTATTTTAAAAGCATTTAAAAAAATTATTATAGTAAATCAGTTATCGAACTGTCAAATATCAATGCGAAATTCCGCAGAACTCGGGTACTCGAATACGTACGTATACCTTGTACAAAACATACATTATGCGTGGTAATTAATACTGACGAGCACTGATATATTATTATCAGGTGCTTGTACCTACTTACTAGTAGTAATTGTTGCTGTTGCGATAAATGGCAAGGTGAGGCGGAAGGCTATCTTGAAAACGAACTGCCGAAATATGGTTTGATACAGACAAATGTTTTTGAAGAGGCGTCTAGAATGTTGTTCGCCCTGCTCATCTGATGAACATTTCTATTAACTGTTCGTACAAAACAAATTGCAATTGGAACAAGTATAAACGCCTTAACATCGGAATAATCGCTCCCCGAACTGTATAAGACTGTATAATATACAGCTCGCAAAAGTTGTTCAAATTGTGTTGATAATATACAAATCCCAAATATGAAGCCATATCAGACTCCATTTATATATATATAAATTATAAATATCAAAGTCCATGGTTAGCAAATAAATAAATGAGTATATATGCGTATAAATTTATGAAATCGATTGGGTCAACCCAAACCAAACCCCTGCCTTGAGCCTTAAGCCCTGGCCCGTGCCTCTCGAGCGTCTGTGCTGGTGTCGTCATCCATCATTGTTAGCAGCGCGATTTGTGTTGTGGATTGGCTTGATAGGGCGCAGGCTGTGTACGCTATGACCTCGGTGGTGCAGCGCTGAGTCAGCTCGTCGAAGTAATCGCCATTTGGGCAGGTGCCCTCGCCAATTTTGACACCGTCCTGGCATATGGCGAAGCCCGTGCAGCCATCATTCGACTCGTTGGCCAGCTGTATGCCCGTGTAGCCAAGGTCGACGCATCGATCGTAATCGCACTGGAGCTTTGATCGCGGCACACAGGCGCCACCATCCCGGGCAGAAAAGAAGCGACCATCGTCGCATTCGCCATGCTGCAGCAGCATTTGACCATCGGCACCCTCACGGCAATAATAGTAGCCATTGCAGCTGCTCTCATCGGAGATGAAGCTGCCCGCTTTGGGGCAAGCCTCTGGCGCTGCTGTCAACGGCGGTGGCTCCGTGATCGCGCACTCCACATTCTGTGGATAGTCACAGTCGCCCTTTTTGGCGCTGAAGTAGAAGGTGGCGGGGCAGGTACCATTGATGACCTCGCCCTTCCAGCACATTTGCCAGCCATTGCAATTGAGGGTGTCCTTAACGAAGACGCCATCAGGCAGAATGTTGCAGTAGCTGTCCGGATTCATTTTGTCACTACACGGAAAATCACGTATACATGACTCGGTGCCCGGATTATAGTTGAGTCCGTTATTGCACACGCCGCGAGTGCCCACACCCTCCCTACAATAGTAATAGCCATTGCAGGAGTACGGATCGGCGGCAAAGCCATTCGGCTGTGCCGCGCAAGGATCGCTAGAGATGCACTTGACATCGGCGGATGGCACGCAATCCCCAGTTTGCCTGGCATAGAAAAGTCCATCGTCGCAGGTGCCGCTTACGGGTTTGCCATCGACGCACTGTATCCAGGCATTGCAAACACGCGGATCGTTAATTTTGGTGCCATCAACGACCAGTGTACAAATGAGTTCCGGATCAAAGCTGGCAGCCAAACATGTTGGCAGAATCAGGCCAAGCCCGAGAAGTATGTGCCAAACCGAACTATCTACAAAAGACATAAATACTATAAGGTCGAAAACGATCTGCTTTAACCTATTTAGAAGAGAGCTAATATCCAAATAAAGGGTATACAAGATATCCCTATACTGAATTATTCATTTGCTGTGTAAGAGTATCCTGCAATTTCAAACATATGGAATATGTCAAGAATATAATAGAAGAAGAAATGTTTAAATTAAATGTACTTTAGTAAAAGTTTTGGTATATTCAAGAATTATATGATCGTGATATGATATCAGATCTGAAAAAGGTTTTTGCTAAATTTACACACTTGAATTATTTAATTTTCGCTTTAAGTTCGACAATGCACTTTTAATATTCTCATATGCAGCATAAAGATTATCCGATACTAAATACTACTTTTTTTCTGATCCGTAAATAAATTGAAAAATTTACGCACTCATGTTTATGAAAACGAACAGGAACTGCAGAGCGATCCGCCTGGACAATGAAAACGACTAGCTGGGTGGAACGCGACTTGCCTATTAAATAGAACTTCCCAAAACAAAAGGCTGACAGGGGGCACATAAATTTTGGGGCATTAAAACAGAGCTGAAAATGTCGCTATCTGTTTAAATTGAATACATATTTTATCAATTGACTTAATCAATTTGACAATTAATAAATTAGGAAATACCGCCCATTTCGCCAGATAGTCCCATTTGCGAATTGTTTAAAAATAATTTAGAGACGACATCAAGAACTTCAATCCTTATGACCAATAGGTTTCTATCTTTATTGAAGTGCGTTATTCGAGAATTATTTATATTTTTTCTTATCACGTTAGTTTTGATTTTAATTGAATTAAGTCCCGCCCGTCGCAATTTGTTTTTTTTTTTCGGCGGATAGACAGACGGACTTGGCTATAGCAACCCGACTTTTAATGCTGATCAAGAATATATATACTTTATGGGGTCGGAGATGTGGTCTTCTATGCTTCACACACTTTATAAAAAAAAATTGGTTTATTTACTTGATTTATAGCTATGAGGTGATAGCTATAAAATGAAAGATACTTGGATATACATGTACCATTCTAGCAGACTCATATCAAGTTTGGTGGCTCTAGCTCTTATTATTTACCCAATTTGCTCAAAAAACAGTATTTTGATATCGGTTTTTATCGATTATTTGGGGAAAGTTATCGATTATCGGAGACAAACTCGCACTGCGCGGGCACTAGGAGGACCTACATACCAAATTTCAAGTCTCTAGCCCTTATAGGTTCTGAGATCCTTGCTTTCATACATACGGACGGACGGACAAGCGGACATGGCTAGATCGATGCTGCTCAAGAATATATAAACTTTATGGGGTCGGTTACATACACTTGCACAAATAAGTTATACCCTTTTTACCCACTTTCAGTGGGTTCGGTGGATAATTATAAAACCCTCTACAAAATATTTGGAAACCTGCGCGAATTTCGGGATCATGCAAGACGTTGTCACATAACGCATATTTAAAAATCCAACCCGCGAAAGTCCCAACTCCCGATTCCATCTTTAGTTTTTTTTATTCAATCCATCAGTGCCTAATTTCTGAGCATCATCTAAACGATGACTGCCACCTCAAAGTATGCCACATTTTCTGTGCTTTCGTATGACTCATTGGTCTGAAATTTGTGCTCTTCTTCGTTTCTGCTTCGTGTGTATGTTTATCAAATATGTATTTAGTCTGAGGCGCGACAAGTGCCAAAAAATATGTTTTCATGTTTCAATTAGTGTACGCATAATATTCTTTAAATGGCTGCACCCAGCGAGTGCTGGGTGTGGGGATTGGCCTTATATAAGGCTCGTAGATGGGGCAATTATCAAATATTTTATCGCAGCGCGTGGAATTGTTAGCAACTAATTACGAAGAGGATCGCATGGAAATACGTATGCATTTTGCATTGCTTGTGGGCGTCTGTTTCGGGGTCGCCCAAGCTGCGGAGCAGCCGATTCATATAGAAATCGCCGATCTGAGCCATGTGAGTAGACGGCCAAGTAGACTGTCAAGGAACTCGCCCGCTCACCGTTTTGCTTGTAGATTTGTGAGGGACGCACGGATGGTCACTTGGTGTCCCATCCGCTGGATTGTAATGCGTACTTCGCCTGCGGCTCGTTGGCCACGCTCCAATACTGTGAGGAGGGACTCCACTTCGATGCAGCTGAACTGGTGTGCGATGTGCCCGAGAAGGCCAATTGCACTGCCATGGAGGGCATATCCGCAGTGACGACCACGGCGCCAGGCGGAATCGGGGACCCTGCCATCGGAGCTAAGCCCTATGCCGATTACAACTGGTGGATGGGCAAGCCACAGCCGGTCTTTGTGGCCGTCGATGTGGAGACTGGCGAGGCCGTGAGTCCCATGGAGAAGTACGATCCAGAGCACGTTGAATGCCGTCACTTTGGTGCATACTTTATGCCCCATCCCAGTAATTGCCAGCTGTACTTTATTTGCGCCTACGGCCATCTGCATCGTCATCAGTGCGGCCGCGGCACCCTCTGGAATTACAGGAGCTCCGAGTGCCAGTTGAGCGCGAACGCCGAGTGCTATAACTACAGCCAGGAACCTGCGGTGGATGTGCCGAAAGAGCAGAGTACCACATCTGGCCAAGTAACCATCTGCTATATCGTGAACACCAGCAGCACCTTGCCCAGCCTGTCCAGTGAACGTGAGTCGACCACAAGCGCGTCTGCCCCAACGCCACCAAGCCCACCATCAAGTGCACCACACAGTGCTCTGAAGTGTCCATCGGAGCGCCAGAGCTATCTGCCGCATCCCGATGACTGTGGCAAGTACTACATTTGCATAGCGGGCATGCCGGTGCTGACCTCCTGTCCCAAGGGTCTATACTGGGACCAGAAGGCCGGCTATTGTGACCAGGCTAAGAACGTCAAGTGTTTTCAAAATCAATAAATAAATGCATCCCATTGGGGCTTGCCAACACGCACACAACAGATTTGGGGGGCATCAGTTGCCTTGTACGACAAGAACTTGGTTTTGGGCAGTAGCCCGCGACTGGAAGACCCACGTGTCTCTCTTAGTCGCCTCTTACGACAAGCGATGACTTGCTGTGGGGGTATTCTAATGCCCGCCCACCACACGGTTCAGTGAACAAATGCGGCCATTGATTCGATCCCCCTTTATTTGGATCCCTTAATTTGTAGTGTAGTGTAGTCTATGGCATTCCTTACAAAACAGTTGCCACGGTCAGCCGCTGCCACATTTCGCGTCGCCTCTGAATAGTCGCGGCATCCTCCGCATCTGGCTTCGCTTGTTGCCACTGAAAATCCAACACGCTTGCTTTCAGACGCTGCCAAAATGTGGGAGGTCCGGCGGCCGGCAGGTTTCCGGCGGATTCATTTACCAAGCCCTGCGCAGACCCGATTCCGCCCAGCCAAAAGGGGAGCAGAGCAAATGCAAGACTCAAACCGAACAACCTGTATGATGCACTCATCCTGTGTCGCTGTCTGTACTGACGGATGACGGCAACGACTCGCATTTTTCATCACAATTAAATAAATAGATAAATAGATAATCGTATCCAAGTCAAGTTCCTTATCAATGGACTGGCAATTGCTTTACAATGCATGATAAGATAGCTAACGTAAATTTCTTAATACAACACACTTGGAAATTAACAAGTCTGAAGATACGTTAAGATTCATGAGTTTTAGATCGAAAGTATTTTACCTGTGTGGTCGCCGGCTCAAATCCAGCATTAATTTTTCAATTTGTCTGGGATTTATATGTCAGTTAGGCATCGCTGCGTCTAGCATATTAATTATGATAATTGCTGCACGCATACGAAAGTGTAATCCAGATGGACAGCATAGTTTATTAAACCATTAAAGGACTCGGTGGCAGCTGCTGCCCGGCCGAGAGTGGAAAAGCGAACACTCTGCCAGTCCGGAGTCCGGACAAAGCATTATCATGGTATGCAGCTTGATAAATGATGTCCGCTGTGGCTTAGAAAGCAGCTCCTTCTGGCCTAGCTGGTCTTTATTTATTATCCTAAAGTCAAGCATTTCGCATAAATCGCGCACATCTTGAAATAAGAAAAAATAAAGTTAAGTGAACGCCAGTTCGATACACTATTAACAAAGAATTTCTCTTTCTTCAATCAGCCGGAAAGAGGAAAACTTTCTTACTAGCCTGCTGACTCTTAGACTGTAATTACAAAGCAGTGGCTTTCAAACTGTTAAATACGTAATCCAATATACTTGCTTTGTAAACAGCGCACAAAAATGACAAAATAATAATTAAAATAAAAGTCTTAATTAACTTGAGTCAAACTCGGCTAAAATAAAACATTTTTGTTTTTACTTTTTTTAATTCATAAATTCTTTAACATTTTATACATATGTATGTAAATAGAACTAATTTACCGGTGTAAATAAAGCTATTTTTTATTACGCTCTTTACTATGATTAGTTATTGTATTTTATTATGAATACATATGTATATATATTTATATATATATATATAGATGTGTTCGTCTGTTAATATAAAGGTAGATTGCGTTTGGAGGCTGCTTGCAAAAACATTCAAGCTTGAGTTCCATTTAATAACAAGAATTTATAGTTTTTATATGGAATATAAGTGCTTGAATACAAACCAAAAAAAAAAGAAAAAAACAGAAAGAAAGTGAAAGGATATATATAGGTTAAAATACTACTTAATATGTAAACATATGCATGTAGATAGCCTTTTGAGTGCAAACTCCCAGCTATATATAAATATTTATATCAGAGCCATAGAGTTGATATTAGAAATATACATATATTAAAAATACATTTTCAATTGCACACTAAATAATACTGTGGGAGTAGCTAAGTATTTGTTTAAACAGTATATGTATTATATATGTGTATATATTTTTAAAATATGTATTTAAAATACGCTTTCTTTTCAAAATACAATTTAATGCTTCATTAAATAATATTCTAAGATTTCAGCTGTAGCCTTTTTTTATGTTTTTTTATTTATTGGGTATATGTTATATATGTATGCCTACAGGTAGGTATATGTATGTATGTACGTCTGTTTATATGTATGTGTATACAGCTTTGTAATATTTATACAAGTAAGGGTATTTGTTAATAATCATTTTGTTTGTACACTTGAAATAAGTACAATCTCCTTTTTAAGACTTTTTGTGATTTAGACACGCCTCTCTTTCATATGCATATATATATATATATATAAATAATTATATTAAATCAATGTGGATAACTTTACCTCATTGAAGGTATTCTCAATGCAAATCCACTCGAAGGTGGGCTACACAGCAGGCTTAAATATAATCTAAAATTACATAAGCTGCAATAATCAATCTAGATATTTATGCCCGATATTATTCCAAATTGTGGAATCAGTTGAATGGCAGGAAGAGCGTTTATCATTCCTTAGGCACTACAAATTCTATTGCAAGCAATTATCTAGTTTAACACAAAGAAGAACATATTTATCATACTCGTTATCAAAAACTAGAGTGTGTGTGTGTGTGTGTGTGTGTGTGTGTGTTTGTTAAAACCCTTATGAAGTTCGTTTTTGTACATTTTGTTTTGAAGTTAAATAGACTTGTTCGTAGCCATTTTATGTAAGTTATCACATATTTTTGTGTGTCCAAAAGATATTGAAACTTATCGAAAGTCGTTCTAAGCATGCACATGAATGTCGAGCAAATTATTGGGCCATATATATATATATCTAAATATATATGTTGATAAGGATATAATATAATATACTAATCATTTGCCGACCACACTGCTGAATATGTTGTCCAATAGTTGATAGTTTGTTTATAACTTTAACTTATATATATATATATATATGTGATAATTGCTATAAACTATAGATAATATATATTTCTGTTGCTGTCACATTTTGAGCGCGATCTCTACTAAGTACGTTCTGCCTCGCCTTTGACGAACCAAATCTACATAATTTCCGTGAGGATATGCGGATTACTTGTGCGTTCTTAAGCGCATCATAATAAACAGATTTTTTATGTTAATTTAAAAAAAAAATATGGCTGTTTTTGTAAATATACAAACAAGTAAAAAGAAAGAGCTTTGCCAAAAATAAAAGTGGTTTAAAGCATTTGGATTTTTTACTATACCAACAATTAATAATAAAAAGGAAGTAAAAGTTAGACACCTAGACCCATATCTGCCATTATATAATAGTATTTTATATTTGGTTAAAATAGGAAATCTATTTGCATAGAAACGAACTTATTCTGATCTGATCAATTAAATGATACATATGAAAAATACAAGTATTCTCCATTAACTATAAAGACAACAAACAAGTCGAAAGGCCTTTTCTTTAATGTCTTTTAAACTGTAAAGCCAAAGCAGTGACTGTCAAACTTTGATATTAGGTATCTTGCAACTTACGTGGGCGGGAGTGAGAAAGTAGGAAGAAGTAAGAATACTTTTGGCTCGATCTTCTAAGGAGCTCATCTCTAGTCAAACTGCCAATTTAATTGTTTCTAGCTTGAAAATATGGATTTTGCCTTAATATAGTAGAATATAACCATATTGGGGCTTTAAAATAATAATAAGGTTTATCAGACAGTTGGACAGCAAAGGGAAATGTTGCGCAAAAGAGCATAAAAAATGATATTTAAATAATTCATGCTAAACACACAAAGAAGAATCCAGTAAATAGGAAGGCTATTATTCTATCTCGTAGCTCATATGTACATTCTATATTCATTCTATATATTATGGTTAGTATTTTTATATATTTACCAACATATATCATTTTTCAGATGTTTGTGTACGCATATGTATTCAAAAGCTTTGTAGAATCATATAAATATGTTTACAAACATATTTATAAATATGTGTGTATTTAAAGTTTAATTAAAAATTGTCTACTATGTATATATATATATTTTTTTTTTGGAAGAGTACTTCTGAATGTATTCGTATAACCGTTTAATATGTTTATATGCATAAGTAGACTTGTATATGGATAGACAATGGGAATGGGTAGCACTTAGTCGGAATGTTTATTATATTTGTATCTTGTATTTGGACCCAAAAGGTGCAGTATTAGCAACTACATTGACCAACTCTATTGATGACCTTTTCAAGGAGAAGCCAATGTGTTTTGTTATTATTATTTGTTTTTGTTTATATCTAATATGTTACCTAATCTCCTATTTATTGTTGTTGTTGTTGTTGTTGTTGGTTAAATGGCTGCTTTAAACGTCGGTTTCATTGCTTAAGTTTCGCTGGAGGTGCAAATTACTCTGCTTGGCCGTCTGCAAGGGCGTCTGATGGGATATCTGTTTCTGCAGCATCCTTGGATCTGTGGCGCCCGGCAGACCGACATTGCAGGCCTGGTTTGGATTGCTGGGCGAGCTGTGCTGCGATCGCGGGCTGGGCGGCGTGGGCGTTGCGGGTATCTGATGCCAATTAATACTGTTCTGAGAAGTAATATTGCGCGTCTTCAGCAGGGGTGGGTTCTTCGTTGACGTGGAGAATGCCATGCCGCGCTTGAGCGGCACTCTAGAGACACACGAACATAGTACGCATTTTTTTTAGGTGGAATGGCATAAGGATTCAATGTGGTGGACCATTCGTTACATATGTTTGTGAGGCGAGACATATGGCAGGGGGTATTCGCGAAATGCAATGTTACAGAAAAATGACAAGAGATATAATAAATTATATGTGAATGATGCTAATAATTCAATTGCTCCCAATCTCATTTCGGACTCACCTAGTTGGACTCGGCGGTGGATAGGAAATGCCGCGATGACAGGGCGACAACAATAAATTACCCGAGTGACTAGTAGTTGTGCCCGGCACAAGCAATGTATTGTTACTATAAGTATGTTAAAGTTTACTTTAAAACCGATCAGACCGTCAGCTCGTCGGACTACAAAACAAACTGAAGCTAGAATCGTACTAAACCAAAAAAGTGAAC